CAGAGAGTGGAGGACAGCATGGCTCCAGATGGAGAAAGGGAGGAGGAGCTGGCCAAATTAACTTTTCATATTACCAAGCTGGCAATTGGTTGTTAGGACCGACCTAGCAGCCAATCACCTGTGGGTTAATATGAAAAGTTCATTTGGCCAGCTCCTCCCGTCCTCCAACCTGAGCTGTGCTGTCCTCCGCTGTCTGCTGTGAACTGAGGACGACAGCAGCAGTGGAGGAGGCTGGGAGAAAGGGGGGGGAGGGGAAGGGGGCCAGAGGTCACTGCTTGGGGGAAAGGGGGGGGGGGGGGGGGAAGAAATTGCCTCTAGCCCCCCTTCCCCCACCAGCAGTGTCCTCTTGCTGGGAGTTCAGTTTTTTAAAATACCTGCCTTCTGACGATCCCCTTTATTGTCCTCCTGGAGCAGCTGAAAGCTGGCAACTCCTCCTCCCACCAGCGTACAGCTGCTGCAGGAGGAAAATCTAGGGGATTGTTTCTAGTAAATGCCTCCCTCTCTGCTCCTCTTGGCCTTTTTCCTCCTTTTTTTCTGCTGCCTGCCCCTTCCCCCAAGTGCTCCCCTTTCAACAGGGCTCCTAAAGAAATTGTGAAAAATATTAAAAAGGTAAAAACTACTGACACCATCCACTGCCCTACTGACACCAACTTCCTTCCTACTGACACTGTCCACTGCTGTACTAACCCCATCCACTGCTCTACTGACTGACTCCAACCTCTGCCCTACTGACACCGTCCACTGCCCTACTGACTGACACCATCCACTGCTCTATTGACACTGTCCACTGCCCTACTGACTGACACTGTCCACTGCCCTACTGACTGACACTGTTCATTTTTAAGGTACGTTAAGTTTGTATTTTTACAGTGACATTTGTTTTATTATATTTTTCTACATTATCCTTGCTATTTAGTTAGGCCTTGCTAGTTAATTTTGTTTCTTAAATGGCAGTGAACCTCAGTGATCTTTGATCCCTTTTATGTTGTTCAGATAGATCTCCACCTCTCAAAGGTTGCCTACCCCTGCTCTGTGACGTTAGGAGCAACCAAATGTCTCAAAGCTGGTGCCCTCCTATATATAACTTTTTGACCTAAAACATGATCATTTTTCAAAAACGCCCAGAATGCTTCTCAAGCAGTTTATTAACTGTTTATATTGTTTTGACCGCCCAATGCTTCCTAAGCAGTTTATTAACTGTTTATATTGAATAGAATAGGTGTTAATGAAAGACCATTCAAAACCCTAATTCCTATCTTCCCTTAGTCTAAGTGCCAACAACTCCTCTCTGTAGTAGCTACCTCTTGAATAATCTCAGTTGTACTAAATGTTGCTTAATAGCCGCTGACTGTGTAATGAAATCTGTCATATTCGAACAGTTACTGCAGATCCTCATAAACTGTTCCTTAGAGACATCTCGCAACCAGGAAGGATGGTGGCAGCTGTTAGTCTGACTGTAAGTTCTGGTCTTAATACCATTCCCCTCACTAAAAATAGATCCAAAAAATTCATTTTCACAGGATTAAATTCTTAATTCCACCTAATACCTAAAGTATTAGAATTCAAGTCTGCCATAAATTCTTGTAATCCTGTCTCATAGCCCTTCCAGACTAACAAGGCATCGTCTATGTAGCAACGCCAGAAAAGCACTTCGCGTCGGAGGGCAGATACCATAAATGGCTTCCTCCTCCCTGTGGGCAATGAAGAAGTGGGCCACACTGGGAGCGAACTTGGTCCCCCATGGCTACTCCTGTTCTCTCTAAATAGAAATTTTTCCCCATACCAAAAATAGTTATGGTTCAAACAGAAACCCAACAATTAAAGGATGAACCTCTTTTGTTCCTCAGGGGGTGTATTCACCCTGTCAAAGAAATGCTTCACCGATACCATTGCTCTATTATGTGGTATGATTGTATGCAGTGAAGAAACATCCACTGTGACAAGCAGATACTGTCCCTCAACATAGACTTCTTGTATGGCATTAACAGTGTCACGGGTATCCTTAAGGTAGGCTGGATGTAGGTACTATATTACTTGAATCAGGGCAGTTATCTCTAGTCACAGGATTACTTAAAGCAGAGCTCCACCCACAAGGGGAAGTTCCGCTTTAAGCCTTTGTCCCCCACTCCCCATTAAAGATTGGCATCTTTGGGGAGCGGGTACCCGAATTTGACAGGTACCCGCTCTCACTTCCGCTGTGATCGCCTAGGCGATTGGAAGTGGAAGTTGTCGTCCCCCCGTAGTCTTCTGGGACACGTGACAGGTTCCAGAAGACTACGGGTCCATTTACAAAGCGCAGCACTTCTCGCGCATGCGCAGTGGGCACCCGGCTGTGAAGCTGCAAGCTGTCACAGCCGGGTGCCCACGCAGAAGATGCTGGTGCCAGGAAGAGAAGACGGTCGCTGAAAACCAGCGGTGGTGAGGACACCGCTGAACCGAGGGACATATTAAAATTTCTTGAGGGGGAAAATTTAAATCTTTTATTTAGCAATGAGTGCAGATCCATCCATCTGGGATTGGGCTTTCTCACAAAGCGCTGTTAGACCTTGTTTTTAAAGTCTTCGCTTCTGGTAAGAGGCTTATATTTGGTGACATGCACGATGGTGAGGATTGGAAGCACAAGTCACTTTTATGCTGTCATTTGCTGCACGGACTGAGCATGATTTTTTATCTACACCTTTGGGCTGTTGGACTGCATTTCAAATGTTTTTTATATTCATTTATGTCACAATTGAATTATTATTTATTATCATCTTTATTATCATTGTAATGAATTTCCTTATTTAGGCACTTCATTGGAGCATTTATGTCACAATTGAATATTAGAGATTTATTTTTATCATTGTTATGAATTATTTTACATAGGCACTTTTTTGGATTATAGTTGTGTAATATATTGATTCAACATTTTTAACAGCGCAACACATATAGTATATTGTGATCTGTGCATGTACTTTGGTGAGAAACACATAATGAGTGCAGCTGTTGGTCACATATTGTTTGATAAATAATTTTTTACACACATAGTATGGGGTAGTAATTGTACAAATATCATGTAACCTAAAAAATGGAACTACCACCATTTTATTCTCGGTGGATATCTGCTTTCAGAAAATAAGTTTGGGGGTTTTAACTAATTATCTGGCCTAAAATGATTTTTAAATGTGTGCAAAAAAACCCCAAAAACATAAAAATGACTCGGAACAGTGAGGAATTAACCACTTGCCCTCCAGAGGATTTATCCCCCTTCCTGACCAGGCCGTTTTTTGTTATACAGCGCTGCGTTATTTTAACTGACAATTGCGTGTTCATGCAACGCTGTACATAATTAAAATTTATGTCCTTTTTTCCTACAAATAGAGCTTTCTTTTGGTGGTATTTGATCACCTATGCGGTTTTTATTTTTTGTGCTATAAACAAAAAAAGACCTACAATTTTTTGAAAAAAAAAGCAAATATTTTTGACTTTTTTGCTATTAAACATGTCCAATAAAAAAATACAAATGGCGCTATATATACTGGAATTTTTTTTATTATATATATACTAGTAATGACAGCGACCAGCGACTTATAGCGGGATGGTACTAATGACACTGGGCAGGAAGGGGTTAACTTTTGCCCATCAAAGGGTTAACTGTGTGCTGTGTGTGTTTTACTGTGTGTGCTGTTTTTACCTTGGAGATATTCTGTTTTGTATTTGTCTGTTGTGCACAGAAATACAAAGCAGCATGTCCTTGCTGGCAAGAGCGATACCTGTGTTGTTTACACACAGGTCTCTCCTCTGTCAGCTTTGCCCGACGATCGCCGGGTAAAGGCGGGCAATCTCCGGCCCGGGCCCAGTGATTGACATGACTAGTCGCCAATGGTGGAGTGGGTAGGGCAGTGTGAATGCGCTCCCTACCTGGAAATGCAAATCACACACATACAGTGGGGCGGTGGGGAAGCTGTTAAAGGAGGTTTTTCATGTAATTTAAATTGGATTGCCAAAAATAACTATCTTTTGTACTGCTATTACAATGCTGATGTTATAAAATGGAAGTGTATGCTGTGACTATAGGACTCCTTTAACCTCCCTGACGGTATTCCCGAGTGTAGCTCGGGGTAACATTTCAGTACCAAAAGCGGTAACCCCGAGCTACACTCGGGCTTACCCTGCGGCACTGCTCCGGCAAGTTGTCTTCACTTACCTTACCCTGCGCTCCCACGATGTGTCCCCTGCAGTGTCCCCGGCCATCTCCTCCGCCCGATGCCGGCATCCGGCTTCTGTGTCCTGTCCCTGTGACGTCGGGACGTACGGGCGCTGCCGCCGCCGCCGGCGGGAAATTTAAAAATTTTAAAAAATGTCTTTTTTTTTTTTTTACATTTTACACAGTAAAACATTGCTGTTTCAACCTATTTCACATACATATTGTCCCTAGTGCTTTGTCCTGCGCCCTGCCTGCATTTTGTCTATTCTTTCTGCCTGGAAACTGAGAAATGTCCATGGCGTCCAAAAAGTGTCCCTTTAGGTCAAAAGCGGTTTAGATCAGCTAGAGAACAGCGATAGTAAATCAGAACCACTTGCAGAATTGAGTGATAATGATTCGTGGGGGAAATTCGTCATCAGAAACTGAAAACGATTTTGCGACTGAGCTCAGCAATGTGCGAACTTGGCGCTCTATTTCACATTTCAGTGTTTTTGGTTTGATTATATTATTGAATTAAATTTTTTATTATTTTTATATTATTTTTATGATTATTTATTAAATTATAATTTATGATTTCGTGTTTCAAATTTTATCATACCCGGGATGTTTACTAGACTCTTGTTCGGACAGATTTCAGTGAGTTTTTCCTAAAAATTACAGCCTACAATAAAAAAAATACATATTTCCATGCAAAAAAATGGTACCGCTTTCAGCACCAAAAATCTGAAATAATCATACCGCCAGGGAGGTTAAGGAAGTGATATTGTACTGTTTTGTGTAGCTATGCAGTCAGCTTTTATCATTTGTTTTTCAGGCAGGCTGGTGTGAGAAATGGAATGATGTTTGGGAAAGCTAAGCAGCTTTGTCCTGATCTACAAGTTGTTTCGTATGATTTTGATGCATACAAAGAAGTTTCCATGACCTTGTACAGAACATTGGCAAGGTAAAGGTTCCTTGGAATTACACCTATAACCTACCGCATATATTATAATTTGATTATTACTGAGCGAATTCCTTTTGTTTATTTTCTCCTTTTAGGTTGTTTAGTCTGTTTATTAAATTTATTTTTAAGCCTTTGTTATAATTGATTGTTTTAGATTTGTAGAACAAAAAATACTTAATTAACCACTACTTTTACCGCCTTCCTGCCCAGGCCAATATTCAGCTTTCATTGTTGTCTCTCTTTGACAACTGTGCGGTCATGCAACACTGTACCCATAAAAAATGTGTATAATTTTTTTCACACAAATAGAGCTGTCTTTTGATAGTATTTAATCATCACTGAGTTTTTTTGTTGTTTTTTTTTTTTGGCTAAATAAACAAACTAAAACTGAAACTTTTCAGTCCACAAACCTTGGTATATATATCTGACAATCGATCCATCCTGATGTACCCATCTCATTTCTTGAGGCCCAAAAACTACAGGATAGTACAAATACCCCCCAAATACAGTCCAAGGTATTTAGTAAGAGGCATGATACGTTTTTTGGAGGTTGTATTCTTTGTTACATATAGAAATTTAAATTAAAAAAAAAAACAAAATTCACAATTTTTTTTTTTTACATATTGTCACAAGTCCAGTACAGCGTTATTATATAACTGGTGTGGCGGTGACCAGGGACACTGACTGGTGACAGTATGTAAAAAAAAAATTATTTTTATTTTTTTCAAATTTTTCTATTATTTTTTTATTTTTTTATTACATTATTTTTATTTATTTTTTTTTCAACACACTGTGACCAAAGCAATACAATGTTACCATAGTAACATTGAGCTACTCTGGGCAAGTGATTAGGATTTCTTTTTCACACATTATGATTGCTAATACCAATGTATTTCATTGATATTTGCAATCATTTTTACTGAATGAAAATGATTCATTCAGACTTTTGTTTATGATTAGCTGTGATTGGGCAAAGTTCATCACATGATACAGATGGGCTGTGATTGGCCCTGTCTGTACCATGTGACTGCTTTGACCAATCACACCTAACACAATTGTATAAAATGGTTGGCATGACAGGAAGCTATCCATTGCATACAATTGACATGTGATCTGCTGTGCTTGGTCACAGTGGTCACATGACACTGGCAACGGGCCGGTGTAGTGATATGTCATCGGCTGTGTCCTGTGGACACAGCCGGTGACAGATTGCGCCACTGCGCGGCCGCTTTTGACAGGACGTCATATGACACCCAGTCACAAGGAGGAGTGTTCCGCCCAGCTGCCAATCTGCTATAGGCCGCGCGGAAAGGTGTTAAGACATATATTATACAATCTTATTGTACAATTTTCCTTTAGATTTATCAAAAACCATATAATATGAGGTCAAACCTAAACACTTTCAATTGGTATTTAACCAGATTGGATTTTTCACTACATAGTTAAAGGTAAATCTAAAAGAGATGCTTATCAGTTAAGATCTAAGCTAAATTAGTGATACCATGTCTATACTAGATATTAGAAAGTGGCATCATACAAAGCTGAGGCAAAGGTCAAAGTAAAGTGTGACTAAAAACCCCCGGATTAGCAAGTTTGGACATAGCCATGTCCGCTAGCTTGAGACACTGAGTCATCATCAGATTAGAAGAGTGTGGGTCTGTGTAACCTAAAACCCTCAATTATTAATAGTAAGAGGGTCTAATGAAGGGGTACTACTGTTGGAGACCATACGGTGGTTTGGCACTTTTCAGACTTGTAAAAGTAGTACTGGTAAAAGTTAGCCACAGAGCGATTTTCAGGTCCAGAGCTTTGACCTGTCTGTGATCTGTTAACTAGAGCATTCGGGGTGAGCACTGGAAGCCACCTTGTTTTTTGCTGTGCTAGGTGCCTTTCAAATGTTTGGTACCACTGTTGCTACCCCAGAAAGGGGTAATGCTAAGGGATTGAGTGTTGATCTTATCTGCTGGGTGGAGTGTCACGCTTTTTTCTTTTCCACCAATCAGCATAGAGGAAGCATCACCCTGCTGCTTCTCCTGCTTTGCAAAAGCACCACATTGAACTCTGAATTTTGGCCAAATCCTACTGCCCACCTTCAGTGACCTGGCCACCTCCATGTGGGTGTAGCATGTCTGTATTCAGATATATAGCGAACAGTCCTGCCTTGAGTGGCCCCCAGCTTACACTGTTAAGGTGATTTTTATTCTGTACTCTATGAGAGCACAGATTTCTGGAATCCAATGACTCTATGCTTATTGGGTCTATCCCTTAGGTCCGCTGGATGAGGCCAAAACCCCCACCCTGTTGTCAGGGACCTCTACTGCAGTCACACAAGACGTTGTGCCAAATGTGATGGGGGAGGCAATGGAGTTTCTTGTCTTAACAGATTCTGCACTGCCTCCCTATCTCAAGCTGACATTTGTGGAAGCTGCTATGTGTTATTGTATTATTTTAACATGTGGTGAAAGTAATACTGTTGATGGGTTGTGGTTGAGGGTGTGGAGGAATGCTAGACAACAAAAATGCTTTATTAACAGAGCTAAATTAGGACAATTGGTATATATAGTTTTAAAAATTCCGATGTTTTTGTTTTCTTGTTTGCACTCCTTAAATCCTAGTTTTCTGTGGAAAATTCTGCTCTCTGTCCTGTGTTGGCTCTCACCTAATCTGTCAGGCAGAATGGGTTAGATCCCTTAAAAAGAATCTCCACTGTCCGGGTAGGCCCCTTTTGTTGGGGAGTAGATACTTGAATCCTTACATTTTAGTTGTGATAACTTTCTAGAAGCGCTTAAATTTGTGTCTTATATGTCTGATGTCTATACAGAGACCATATTCAAAGAGTTTCTGACTTGCTTGGCCTTCGAGTAACATCATATCTTGGGATCTACACTTGATATCAGCATCAATGATTCCTTTAGGCAATCTGGTGTAGAGTGTGCCCCTTTAGGCTCACAGGCTAATCCCTTGCTTCAGGCACGCTCTTTAACTACTCCCTCCTTGCTTTCTTGTGCTAAATCAGATTGACTTTTCCCAGTCCCCTTGGATTCCTTTTTTCCCGTGGACCTATTGCTCCAGTCCCTGTGTCAGCTCGGACCATCACTCTCTCCTTTTTGGAAGATTCCATGCCTATGGGCAGCACAGTGGCTAAATGGTTAGCACTTCTGCCTGACAGTACTAGGGTCGTTGGTTTGAATCCCAGCCGCGGCACCACCTGCCTGGAGTTTGCATGTTCTCCCTTGCCCTGCGTGGGTTTCCTCCGGGTACTCCAGTTTCCTGCCACACTCCAAAGACATGCTGGTAGGTTAATTGGTTCCTGTCTAAATTGGCCCTAATATGTGTAAGTATGAATGTAAGTTAGGGACCTTAGATTGTACGCCTCTTGAGGGTTAAGGACTGATGTGAATGTACAATATATATGTGTAAAGCGCTGTGTAAATTGACGGCACTATATGAGTACCTGAAATAAATAAAATAAATAATAAATGCCCATGTGGAACTGAAGGACCTTAGTGGTAGCCCTCTCTAGAGGGGCCTTTTGACCGATTAGGTTAACTGCGGCCAGCTTTTCCTGCTCCTCACGGGAAGGAATCTGAATCCTTAGTGTTACCAAGGCACACACCTAATATTTTTTAGAGCCTTGACTCATGTGTTTTACCTAGGGCCTTTCCCCATTGTGGAATATTCAAATGACCTCCACAGAAAAGTGTAGGTATTGTGGATCTTCGTAAACAACATCTTCCCGTTTAACACCTGCAAGATCCATCCAGTCAGGTTTCAGTGTTGGAACCTGTTATTGGGGGGCGAGGATACTCAGCATGGTTGCTTGCTGTAAACATTTACAGCATGTTTACATTCAGGCCTCCTAGCCATTAGACAGGGCTACTTTTCTTTCCTCCCCTGCAGACGTTTTTGGGTGTTTGATATACCTCCTATCAGAAAGGTTTCTGCCTCCTCCCATTTTTTTCTTGGTCTTTTTCAGCCCCCTTCCTACCTGTTGCAGGTCTAATTCTTAAGCAGTCTAACATGTCTGTCTATGTGGACAAGGTGGTCCTGGTGTGAGCATTCACTTTCTGCATCAGGTGGCTAGCAGGGATTCTTCTCCCCATTATTAGGGGGTGTCTCTCCCTGGAGAATCATTTTCCCTGAGGCTGAGTTCTAGTTTTCCAAAAAATGTGGTCCCTTTTGTATCTGGAGATCCCACCTTGGGCAAATCTCCTGGCTGGTTCGAACTCTCCTTGGGACCATCGAGTTGCTGCTGTGTTTTCACCACTGAGAAGGTTTGCGAGTCGTTCTTGCGCCAGGAAAGGTACTATGGATCCTGCCCTAAAAGATACCTTGAGTCACAGCCTCTCCCACATTAATCCCTTTAAGAAAGATTACCTGGATGTGAGTTCTTCTGTGTATTCTCTGGGTATGGAGGAGAGGTTCACGCATCTAGGTACACCTCAGACCCTGCATGGTAGATAATAATTTCCCAAGGACTCAGTGCCTCTTTGGGTTGTTATCGGGTAGAAACCCTAATCTCTTGGCGTGGATATACTCTGACAGGAACAGGAAATGCCTTAAAGACTTTGGTGGAGAGGTCCACCTAGGTCTTGCAGCTTCTTGAGGAGTGTCCTTTCACCCCTTTCCCTGGTTTGGTTCCTTGCTCCACTGATGCGGACACTGACTCAGGATTCGGTGTGTCAATAGCATTCCTACACCTATGGCTTGAGTTCAATGATAGCCAGATTTTTGTTTAAGTGGGATCACTCTGGAGTTGCCCAAATACACCTGCTGTATACCAGAGAGGTTCTGGTAGCTTAATTCTTGTGAATATCTGGTTGTTACCATTTCACTAGCCTTGTGTACCCTACACCTTTATTCATAGTGAATTCCTGGGATCGAAATTTCTAAGTTCTGTTGGACTCAGGAATCAACTCGCAAACCTTTTATAGGCTGTTTCACTCTGGATGATTTTGACTTCTCTGGATGATTTTGAGTTCTCATCCCTTGATCCTGGTGGGCTAAGTGCCTTCCCACTACAATATCTGGTTGCGGGTCTTTGTTCCCTACATGGGAATTTGTTGTTGTTCCATTTGTTTCTGGTGGTTTCTCCTTGATCATCTTTTCGTTTGTTCCAGGTACGATGGACTCCTTCCATGTGGAGTCATTCCCCTCTGGTGGTTTTTTTGTGGGTTGATTTTCATCTTGTCCCTCTATTTCTACTGGCAGGGTCTACTAAAATCATTTTCTTGGAGTTCATGGAAGGGCACAGATTCCACCCTTTGTGTTTGATTCGTGCACTTGGTAATGCTTGCTACTAACCCCTCCTCTACAAAGGTATGCTGTGTAGAATAGGGCTTATCCTGGACTGGCCAACATTTTGGTTTTTTTTTTTTGCCAGTGTCTAGTCCTTCTCTATGCGACAGTATAAGCCAACAGTATCTAAACTCCTGTGTCTACTCCAAGAAACAGATTTTGCAGTGAGTACAAACATTCTCTTGTTTCCTTTTTAAAGTATAGCTAAAGGCAAAACTTTATCTTCCTTTAGTTTGGGATAGAGTAGAGAAGGGTTAGAACTCTTGTTCTTGTTTTTTGTTTGTGCCCCATTACGGTGATTTACTCTTTTTATCCTGTGTACTAGTATCCTCAAAAGTGAAAGCAAAAGAAAATCCACAGGAATGAAGTGGAAATCTTCCTTTGGGGCACTAATTCTGGTGACCCTGGTAACACCCCAAGATTCCCTCACTTTGTAGGGATTTCCTCTCGCTTCCTGTTTTGGCTGTGGGACAGGAAGTGAAGGGAAATGGGGCACAGATGGCAAAAAAGAAACTGACAGGGGTTCTAACCCTCTCTCCTCCCTGCACTCCCAGCTATTACAGGATACTCGGGCAGGAGCCATTGACACACCCTCGTGCGGCACGGGAGCACGCCTGCAAGCCCTTTGCGGAAGATGTGGACAGCGTCAGAGGTGGACCACTAAATAAGTGGAAAGGGAACACTTTGTGCAATATCATTGCACAGAGCAGGCCAATATAAACATCTTTTTAAAGTTACTTTTAACAAAAAATAAGCTTTAGTATCCCTTTAAGGAGCTGTAAAGCAGAATTGAATACATTGACCCTACACTATACTGTCTCTGAAACACAGACTGTTTTCATCTGGTGTCTGATCACCTGGTATCTGAATCCAAAAGTGGACCCCATCACTGCTAACCCTGCAAGAACAGTGGTAGCTGTGGATTAAGCACATCACAGTGTGAAGATAATATGTGCTGTGCCCCCAACCTACTATTGTATATAGGAGTTTTGTGGTGGTTTCTCCATGCCCAGTAGGGACTGGCTAGCACTCTTCTGTGTGAAGCCTTTTTCCGATTCATACCAATACAGTTTTCTTTTGGGATAACAGTAGGGACAGTGCTGCAAATATGTTGACTATATGTAATTGAATATAATGAAAATAATTTGCATTACACAATGAACAATTCATACCATAATCTTTTGTGTTTTTCTTTACCAGTTACACTCATGACATTGAAGCTGTGAGCTGTGATGAAGCCCTTGTTGATATCACAGAAATTCTTGCAGAGACCAAACTCAGCCCTGATGATGTTGCTAGTAGTATTCGTGCTGAAATTAAAGAGAAAACTTTGTGTTCAGCTTCTGTTGGAATGGGTTTGTATAATTATACTTCTCAAATATGCGACTGAGAAATTAGAGAATTGACTTTAATTTAACTTTTTTGCAAACTAAGCTGGTCATATACTTCACAGTGTGCAAAAATGATTCACTGATTTCACAAAGTCTGCACTGGGGGGGGAGATGCTGTTCATTGTCCTGGCGACAGCTTATCTTGGGGAAAGCAATTGCAATCAGGCTCAGTTTTCAAACCTTTCTGTCTCTGTTTTCCCCTGACGATGATAAAGTCAGACTATCTAATGCCAGCCATAGACGGTTCAAAAATCGGCTGATTTTCGCACTGTTAGTGGGTTAATTCGTTGGCCGGTTTTTGTGTTTTTTCCACTTTTGGATTATCAGTCATGTTGGAAAATTCGTGGAAAACGACCAATTTTTCGCGTCAATGATGGTCAAATTGTACGATTGTTTTTATGAAAAAAATCTGCACATGAGCCGTGACCTGGAAGGAACAGAAGTTTTGCCTGTTATATGGGGTGAACTTTATGACTTGGTCGGCCGATTTTCATGATAATTGGTGGTTACGTCCGTTTAACGACCGACCGATGTTTCCTTTATCAGACGAAAAAACAGCCGGTTTTCGAGTTGTGTATGGCCTGCATTAGGCCAACTGATACACTTTCAATTGTCAGTAATGCAGGCCATAGACAGCTCGAAAACCGGCCGTTTTTTCGTCTGATAAACTAAACATCGGTCGGTCGTTAAACCGACGTAACCACCAATTATTACGAAAATTGGCCGACTAAGTCATAAAGTTCACCTCATATAACAGGCAAAACTTCTGTTCCTTCCAGGTCACGACTCATGTGCATATTTTTTTTGTAAAAAACTATCGTACGATTTGACCATCATTGACACGAAAATCGGTCGTTTTCCACGAATTTTCCAGCATGACCGATAATCCAAAAGTGGAAAAAACGCGAAAACCGGCCGACGAATTAACCCACTAACAGTGCAAAAATCGGCCGATTAATCTTTCGGACGAAAAATCGGCCGATTTTCGAGCCGTCTATGGCTGGCATAAGTCTAGGCTTTTTTCATATTTGGATATGGTGACTTCACATGTCATAAAGTAATTATTAAATCTTTTTTCCCAGGATCTAACATTCTTCTGGCAAGGATGGCAACTAGGAAAGCTAAACCTGATGGACAGTATCATTTAAAACCTGAAAAAGTAGATGATTTTATTAGAGGTCAGCTAGTCACAACTTTACCAGGTAAATTATTATTTTGTCTTTTGTATGAATGTTCATATTCTAATTTATTTTCTTTAAAATGAGACATTAATGGAGTAAATTAGTTTGGTAACCGCTAAGGTCTTAAAGGGCATTTTGGGGGTTATTTACTAAAACTGCAGAGTGCGTAATCTAGTGCAGCTCTGCATAGAAACCAATCAGGTTAAGGTTTTATTGTTAAAGCTTAACTGAACAAGCTGAAATTAGAAGCCGATTGGCTACCATGCACAGCTGCAACAGAATCTGAATGCACCAGTTTTAGTAAATCTCCCCTATAGTGTGGTATTTCACACGCATTCAACTGCACCAAAAATTCACAAGTGTGACTGGGACCTAACAGAAATTTCTCTACAGTGTTCATTAGAAAAGGTTTGGTCTGTTCTTTGAAAAAATCTGGTGGTTTGCTGGCAGCTGATTGCTTTTGGAGAACTGACATTAGAGGCAGCTAACTGTTTCAACTTTCTTCTGTGAAACTGCTAGACTGATAATCAGTTGCTTGCTGGTAAACATATTTCTTCTATGTCACCTTAATTGTAATTGTCATCTTTGAATATTATTTAGTCAGAACTAAGGGAAGTTTTTCATTTTGGATAGCATAAGGGTGTCACAACCTCTGTCAGTTTTTGTTGTGTGTGTGTGTCCCACTGGAGGGATTTTCCTTCACTTCCTGTCTCATAGCCAAAACAGGCGGTATGAGGAAATCCAAGTCCCCATTGGAAGATTCCCCCTCTATTCCTGTTCTGGTGACAACCCAAAATTTGGGATTTTCTTTTACTTTCACTGATAATGGTAAACAGGATGAATCTTCCTAATGGGAGCACAAACCCCATTGAAAACCTGACAGTTGTTCTAATTCCTCTTCACGCTATCCAAAGTCAAAGCAAGTTATGCATTTAGTAATACTTTGTTCAATCTGAGTTTATTGAAACATTTTCAAAATACAAAACAACACAAAATTTGAATATGTGTACCCAAGAGGGCAGCAAAAATATTTGTAAAAAATAAAATAAATAACAAAACAATTGCAGGCACCAAAACATACAGGTGCGAACAAGCTACAGCCACACCACACCCGTGGGATCTGTGATCCATACATAGGAGTCATGGGGTGGGTAGGAGGAAGAAAAAAAGGGGGGTGGCAGGAGGAAGAGGAATAGTAGAAAACCGAGCAAGTGGAGAGGGAAGAGAAAGAGAAACTAATATAGCCAGGCGTGGACAGCAAGAAGAAATATTGCATTTAGTTATACTTTAAATCATTTATATTAATGATTTATAATATTTCCTGGGAAAATTTATTCCAAATCAGCATTTGTGGGACTAGGTACTGAAGTTGTATGAGAAGACCTGAATCACAATTGGCATTCCAGTTCATCCTAGAGGTATTCAGTAGTGTTGAGGTCAGAGCTTTATGCAGGCCACTTGCATTCTTCCAACCCAAAATCTTCAAACCATGTCTTCATGGACCTGACTTTGTGCACAGAGGATCAGGGTTTGAACAGAACAGGGCCTTCCCCAAACTGATACCACAAGGAAGCACAAAATTGTTCCTAAATTGTTTTGTATGCTGTAGCTTTACCAGTACCCTGCATGGCAACACTTAACTTAAAAAAATTGAAGGGGTGTCCATATACTTTTGACATAAAGTGTATATATGTATATTTCCTATGCTTTTACAACTGTTGAACAAACGTTTCATGATTGAACTTGTTTAAGATTTCTTATTACATTGAAGTTGAACTCCAGGAATTCAGTTTCTTTATAACAAGAGGAGACACACTATGAGTTAAGTCCAACTAGGCACTTGACACCTCCTGGGCTTATCTCTATTATTGACATCTGACAGGTTTATGGAGCTCCTGGAAGATGACTATTGCTGTATTTAGAGAAACCCAGTGCTGGACCTTCTGGTCTTGGCATCTTCATCAGTAGAGTCACTGCAGCTGCTATGCATTGGTGCACCAAAATGAAAATTCTGGTGCTGAAACCCATACTAAAAATTCAGAATGCATGTGGCCAAAAACCGAAACCGAAATGTCTGCGTATGTGGGAGCGGGGAGGCTCCAATTTTTTTTTGTGTATTTTTTTTCTACTTTCATGTGTATACTTTTATTTTATTTTTTTTTAACTTATGATTTTATTTCTATCACATAGGGGATCGATTAGTCCCCTATGTGATTTCATACGATTGATAGGTCCTCTTTGGAGGGGGTGGGGGCAGTGTATACAGTGAGGGAGCAGTGTATACAGAGAGGCTCCCTCACTGGCTGTCACTATATGTCGATTTTTAAATGCAATTGCCAGCTTTTTTTTCTCTTGACTATAGCTCACAGAATTAGCTGTCACTTTGGAGCTAAAGGAAACTTTGTTTCTTTTATCTTAGGAAAGAAACTAAAAGGAAACATTGTTTCTTTTAACTCAGGGAAAGAAACTAAAAGGAAACTTTGTTTCTTTTAGGGGGGGGGGGATTTGACAGCTAATTCTGTGAGCTATAGTGAAGAAAAAAAAATTTGGTAATTACATTTAAAAACTGACATATAGTGAGAGCCAGTCCCACCCTCACATCTGGAGTACGGCTGATATGTTTCCGTGGCCGAAATTTCGGTGCATCCCTACTACTATGCCCGCACCTACTTTTATCTTGCCTAATCACAGAAGCCTTTGTATTATGTCAACACATTCACAAAATACAAAGGCTTATGTGAATGGGCAGCAGAGAGGAGGAGCGGGCATAGCTGCTCTGTGTGGTTCTCTCACAGCCCAGAGTGTATCCTCGACAGAGCCATAAACAGATATAAATATGCCTGGAAGCTGTCATGCAACTCGTTGAACTTAACTCGTAGTGTGCCTGCATTTTTTACAAAGGAGCTGAATTCCTGGAGTTCAGCTTTAATGCAGTTCACAAACATTTCTATTGCAGGTCATTGGGTCTAACATATGGCATTCATTCAGCTTTTGAAATACAAGCACTGCCATAGTGTTCTTAATTTCCAAATTGTAATGAGTGTAGAACTCTCTCATGTAATGTACATTCTAATCTACTTTCCCTCCATCTAGGAGTTGGCCGGTCTATGGATTATAAATTAACATCATTAAACATAAATACGTGTGGTGATCTTCAGAATCTTTCAATGTCCAAACTTCAGAAAGAATTTGGGCCTAAAACAGGTCAGATGTTATACCGATTCTGCAGAGGATTAGATGATCGGCCTATTAGAAAGGAGAAGGAAAGAAAATCTGTATCTGCTGAAATAAACTATGGAATCCGTTTCAAACAGGTACATTCTGCTGTGAAATCAAATGCTACATCTTCCCTGGTGAGAAAAATATTCTGTAGATAGTTTACCTATTTTGTCAAGTATTGAGATAGGCCTCTCTGGATAAAAAACATGTATTTATTGTAGTAACCATTTTACAGCAATATTTCTTAATTGTGCATCCATCTTCTGTTCTTTTTGCCTGTTTTGGTTTACTTTATGTCATGGGAATGAGGCAAAATGCCGTAAAGGAAACTGAATTTTCAGTATTGCTGTCCATAGACAGGCTAATTTCTTTGAAATATCATTGGGGGCACAGCTGACATCTGTTAAAGGAGTCCTCCTGCCCCTGAGAGAATGGATACTAGGCAGACCACTGTACACAGGATGGGGATGGAGAACCCCGTTTCAGCTTAGTGTCCCATGAAGTAGGACATTTTAAAATTTTTACTCCTAAATTTTACCATTTAGAGTGACTGCATTTCCCAGAGCTGCTATCTTAGTAAAATAAATGTTCCTCTGCGACTATGGCATTTGAGTCTAAGGGACAGTATTATTGTTAGTTTTTTTTCAGTTCTTTGAAAAAAGGTGTCTTTTGTGCTGTTGAAAGATACAGTTGTGTTCAAAATAATAGCAGTCAGACATCACTAACCTGATCAATCACTTTTTTTGGTAAAAATGATATTTCTACATGGCAAATAATTTACTAGCAGGTGTAGTAGAGTAATAGAAATCCAACAGACCCAACAGTGATTGCATGCATGCTGCTGATTCTGTGTAATTGAATCACTAATTGAAAGGGGCATGTTCAAAATAATAGCAGTGTGGAGTTCTATTAGTGAGGTCATTCATTCTTTGAAAAACAGGTGGCAATTATTGCCCTTTATTTAAGGAAGGAAGGCAGCAAATGTTGTACATGCTGGTTACAGTGCATTTCTCTCTGAAATTCTGAGGAAAATGGGTCGTTCCAGACATTGTTCAGAAGAACAGCGTACCTTTGATTGGAGAGGGGAAAACATATAAAGAAGTGCAGAAAATGATAGGCTGCGCAGCTAAAATGATCGCAAATGCTTTAAAATGGCAACCAAAACCTGAAAGGCGTGGAAGAAAGCGAAAAACTACCATTTCGAATGGATAGAAGAATAGCCAAAATGGCAAGGACTCAGCCAACAATCAGCTCCAGGAAGATCAAAGAAGGTGTTAAGTTACCTGTGAGTACTGTTACAATTAGAAGACGCCTATGTGAAGCCAAGCTATCTGCAAGAAGCCCCCACAAAGTCCCACTGTTGAAAAAAAGACATGTGCTGAAGAGGTTACAATTTGCCAAAGAGCCAAATCAATTAGTGGCAAAAATTCATAAACACTTCTCATATATACCAATATATTATTACCTCTTAATAGATCTGTGATAAAAAATACCAAATATAAAAATCATAATAAATACTCAAATAACAGTGATGGAAACGATTATCATAATAATACTAATTCATGAAAAATGTGACAAATCGTGATACTTGTGACAAACCTAAAAAATCAAAAAAATTAATAGTGATTCTGCAATAAATTCTATAATACATATGGCTTGTGATAAACCCTATAACAAAAATAAAAATAGAATAAAATAAAATAAATCGCTTCTTAAATCAGTGAAGAAAAAAATATATAAATAGACTCAGTGTTTCAGAATAAACTCAAATAGTCCATGCAAAAATGTGAAACACTCTGTGATCTTCACTTCTAGTGCTCAAGAAAGGAATCCTCCAACGGCAGCAATGCCTGCTCACCTCCCCTCCTCGACCCACACAGGGCCAAAAGGCAAAAGACTCTCCTTAAAGGCAATCCTTTCTCCAGACAACTCAGCCAGGAACCTCAGGACTTCCACTCCACCTCCTCTCACCACGTCCTATAGGACACAAACAAAAACTTCCCATAGTGTAACACCGTTTATTAAAAGTAATATGGCATAACAAACTTTCCCACTCACATGTAATCTTTGAATACAACGCTTTTCCACCTCACATCATGGGTGTATTCTCATACAGGGAGGGAAACCAATATGGCCGCTACGTCCGCACAAAACGTCCCCACGTGACCGGAAGTGACGTAATCTCGTACTGGGAATGGCGTTCCGACGCGTTGCGTCACGTGCGTTGTGACTTCATCAGGGTACCCTGATGAAGTCACGACGTACGTGACGCAACGTGTCGGAACGCCATTCCCAGTACGAGATTACGTCACTTCCGGTCACGTGGGGACGTTTTGTCCGGACGTAGCGGCCATATTGGTTTCCCTCCCTGTATGAGAATACACCCATGATGTGAGGTGGAAAAGCGTTGTATTCAAAGATTACATGTGAGTGGGAAAGTTTGTTATGCCATATTACTTTTAATAAACGGTTACACTATGGGAAGTTTTTGTTTGTGTCCTATATGACGTGGTGAGAGGAGGTGGAGTGGAAGTCCTGAGGTTCCTGGCTGAGTTGTCTGGAGAAAGGATTGCCTTTAAGGAGAGTCTTTTGCCTTTTGGCCCTGTGTGGGTCGAGGAGGGGAGGTGAGCAGGCATTGCTGCCGTTGGAGGATTCCTTTCTTGAGCACTAGAAGTGAAGATCACAGAGTGTTTCACATTTTTGCATGGACTATTTGAGTTTATTCTGAAACACTGAGTCTATTTATATATTTTTTTCTTCACTGATTTAAGAAGCGATTTATTTTATTTTATTCTATTTTTATTTTTGTTATAGGGTTTATCACAAGCCATATGTATTATAGAATTTATTGCAGAATCACTATTAATTTTTTTGATTTTTTAGGTTTGTCACAAGTATCACGATTTGTCACATTTTTCATGAATTAGTATTATTATGATAATCGTTTCCATCACTGTTATTTGAGTATTTATTATGATTTTTATATTTGGTATTTTTTATCACAGATCTATTAAGAGGTAATAATATATTGGTATATATGAGAAGTGTTTATGAATTTTTGCCACTAATTGATTTAGTTTATAATGTTTTTTATCACTTATAATATCAATTAGTTTAAGTTCAGTGGGTATTTATGGTATGAGGGTATATTAGTTTTTTAGATAATTTGGGAGCGCTTCACTATTTAATGCACGGTATTTATTACTTATTGGTTGAGGTTGAGTGATTGCAGCTAGTAGATAGGGACTTACCCATACTAAGCGCAGGAGGATATTCCCCCTTATAATTTGCCAAACAGCACATTGACTGGCCTAAAGAGAAATGGCGCAACATTTTGTGGACTGATGAAAGTAAGATTGTTCTTTTTGGGTCTAGTGACCGGAGACAGTTTGTAAGACGACCCCCAAACACTGAATTCAAGCCACAGTACACTGTGAAGACAGTGAAGCATTTTTGCACAAGCATCATGATATGGAGATGTTTCTCATACTACGGTGTTGGGCCTATTTATCGTATACCAGGGATCATGGATCAGTTTGAATACATCAGAATACTTGAAGAGGTCATGCTGCCTTATGCTGAAGAGGAAATGCCCTTGAAATGGGTGTTCCAACAAGACAACGACCCCAAACACACCAGTAAACGTGCAACATCTTGGTTCCAGACCTACAAGATTGACGTTATGGAGTGGCCAGCCCAATCCCCGGATCTTAATCCAATAGAAAACTTGTGGGGTGACATCAAATATGCATTTTCTGAGGCAAAACCAAGAAATAGAGAAGAACTGTGGAATGTAATCCAATCATCCTGGGCTGGAATACCTGTTCACAGGTGCCAGAAGTTGGTTGACTCCATGCAACACAGATGTATAGCAGTTCTCAGAAACAGTGCTTATACAACTAAATATTAATTAAGTGATTCAAAGGAAAGCAAAATAGTAAGATGGCAAATTGTTGCCTGCGATTTACAGATCCTGACAGTTTGACAGGGCCCATGGTGCATCTGCTAGAAGTTGGCATGCCACATCTGCCTGAGAGAATTCAGGAAGCTCAGCCAACAGGAATTTGAGTGACACTGAATCAGAAAAGGGTCTCTATGGTTGATGGCTCAAAAGCCTCTAGGGCTGTGGGAGGGAGTCTGCAGATAACTGGTAATTTGGGTCATGAAGTCCTGCTTGACCATAATAAAATCTCAGTTAAGAAGGTAAAAGATCCAGCTACACCTGACAGACCCAATAACGACTTTGTAGACAGAAAAGACTCTAACAGAAACAGATAAGATGATTCAAGGCTGCAATAGTCAGCACCATAAGTGGGCGAGCTGCCAACTTTCCCTGGCCTGGTAGTAAAAAACTGTATTTTGGGCACCCGGAACAGCGGGTCTTTCCGCTCCCCCCTTCCTTCCCCTGTGTGTCTACAATCAGACATGTTGTGACTACAAAGTGGATGGGCAATGTGTGGGCTCAGGGTAAGAGACAAGGCCTCAAGCATTCACAGAAAAATTGACAGTTGGTAGTAGGTGAGAGTCAATGACTGGAGTGTTGGATGACCAGAGGTAACCAAAGTGTCCACTGTAGGTGTGCAGTAGGAACAGATCAAACTTCCACATTACAGGTGCAGCAGCAGAGATGTGCTTCCACTAAACTGTCTAGCAGGAAAAAGATTGCAGTTCCACCCAATGAATGATGTCAGTGCTCTGTCTCTCAGCATTAAACCACAGTAATCTGGCAGAAAATAAGGAGCAATGGTACCCAGTGACCAACAAACATGCAGGAGTTCCCAGTGCTCAGCCCAACCAGCCTGCTCAGTGTGTCTTCTGAGTCAGAGCAAGGAAGCAATGCTAGCAGCTCTGTACCTTGAAAATGCTAACAGAACAGAGCCTGGAAAACCCAGAACCCAGTGCCTGAAGGTTACCTTTAGGCTAGCCCCACACCTGGATGTGGTACTGTCCAAAAGCCAGGCTAAGTATGACAACTCTGGATAGCTTCAAAGCAGAGACTTATCCTCTGGCAACAGTGTAGATTAGAGTCTTGATAGAAAAAAGAAAAGAAGAAATAAGTGTAGGTTAAATAATAAGTTAGTCTACGTAAACTGGCTTATGTTTTTTTTCTTTATCAGTATCCAGTCCTGTAGGCGGCATTATAACCCAAAGTTTTAAGGCTTCCTGTGTCTCTCAATGGGTGAGAAAGAAATTGAGACAGTAAAATAGTTATATTACTACTACTTTTAGTATAGCATACATTGAGCATAGCATCAAAATAGTTTTTATTACTACTACTTTTTGTATAGCATACATTGAGCATGCAGTATTTGAAATGCTATATAAAAATAGACTAATGCAAAGTTGCATATCTGGTGGATTATTCTTCTACTTTCTAGCTGATTCTTACAAGAAATATTTGTCCTTAGGTCAGTGAAGCAGAGGCCTTTCTGATGAGCCTTTCAGAAGAAATCCAAAAAAGGCTTGAGTCTGTGAAAATGAAGGGAAGAAAACTCACACTTAAGATCATGGTGAGAAAAGCAGGAGCACCCATAGAACCTGCAAAATATGGAGGTCACGGAATCTGCGATAATATAGCAAGGTGAATACACTGTTGGACTAATTATAAAACATACGGAATATAATGTTTGACAGAGTTATTTTCCAGTGTTAATGCTTTTTACATTACATAATGCTGCCTGTAATTTTGAACATTTTATACTGCTTACTCTTCCTTGAACCTAATTTTTATGAGCAACGATATTTTCATGCCCATTTTTGCTAATTTAATAAACAAGGAACACTCTGTTGTACCACTTTTTTGCACTAAAGTACCTTAGTATCTCGAGACCCTGATGCAAGATGGCCTACATTAGCTAATTGCTGATGTCATTTTGAATTGCATGTCAGCAGGAGGCAGAGAAACCGAAGTACACAAATCTTTCCAGTGAAGAACTGTGCAGGGGGGGTGTCAGCATACGTGTGACCATTGGATTGCAGACAGGCTGTGCTCCCAAGTAGAATGCAAAGAAGAAAACTGATCACCCTGTGATAGATGTGCTTCCATGTTCAGCGTGGTAGGTTTAAAATAGGAAAGCTGGGGGACAGGCAAGATCACCAGGTATTTCACACAAATGAAGCAATGGGGAACAAGATACTTTTTCATACAAGTACATGGTAACACAGATTTTAACACACGTTACATAGTAACATAGTTGGTAAGGTTGAATAGACACCAGTCCACCCAGTTCAACGTGTGTGCGTGTGTGTTCATGTCAAAAACCATCTCCCATATCTCTGTATAATGTGTTCACTAAGATGCCTTTCTAAGAGTTTTTTGAAACTATCTATACTTCCTGTTGAAACCACCGATTGTGGAAGGGAATTCTACATCCTATCCATTCTGACTGTGAAAAACCCCCTACGCATTTTAATCCCTTTATGCCTAAGGGTAAAACAAATCTTAATGCCTAAGCACAATTTTGCAACTTTTACATGTGTTAGCAAAACCGTACATATCATCACAACTACTTTGTGCATCCAAGTGGATTATACCCTGTTTTTTTCAAGACAAATTGGGTTTTCATTTGGTGGTAAATGGTAATGGATATCTCCTGATTCCTTTTATTACCAAAGGAAAAAACTGTCCCAAAATAGTAAAAAAAAAAACATTTTTTAAATTTAGCTGTATATTTCTTGCTACTACCGTAACCTACCACCAAAGAACAACCCAAAAAAATGTCTTCTCCACCTGATGATCGCATTGATTTCACATGTGTGTATGTTAGTTGATGTATGTACCCATAGTACAGCCAAGAAACAATAGTGCACAATTTTTTTTTCTTTATCCTGCCACTAACTGACACTGATACTAATTTAAAAATTAAAAAACCTGGACTTTGCCCTTCAGGTACCTCCCTTTTTTCTGCGCCTACTGCAAAACAGGATTCTCTTTTTTATTTGGGCATATAAACGCCCCAGAGTTTCTCGCTTCACACTGTACACCCATAGGTTCAGAGGAGGCCTGGGGGTCCCTAATGTGGTGAAGTATTATAGAGTGGCACCAATTGCTCAACTCACCCTGCTTCATGCTACCACGGATGTCCCCTTGTGGGTACCTCTTGAATTCCCCAACTGCGCACCCATCTCGGTGATGGGTCTGCTGTGGCTCCCTCATAGGCTTCGTCCCCCTTTACTTAGCCCTTTAATTCTCTATAGCCTGAAACTCTAGGATTCAGTCCACTACTATGGCAACCTCATGTCCCCTTTTAAACCCCTTTTACCGCTGCTCAACAATCCTCTTTCCTCCAGGTCATGATCAGCCGGCAACGTTTAGTTGGTGGTCGACTCATGGCTACACCCAGCTTCGACACTTCCTCACGTCGCGTACCTTCCCCTCTTGGCCCTCTATCTGCGAGGCTTATGGCATGCCGTTGACAGAGTTTTTTCGCTACGCCCAACTCCGCCATTGGGTAATTTCTCTGAGACGCAACTCTACGTTCCCTTAACGGATCACGGCCTTCAAACACATCTGTCGGCACTCTCTAGGAGCCTCAGGCACTATTAACCTTATTTACTCCTCCCTGAATGCTGTAGACTCTCCTTCATCCATTTCCTATTAGTCTATCTGGGAGAGAGATCTGGGATCTCCCAATGAACTGGAGGACTGGAATAAAGCCTGGTCTTACATCTCTTTGCTCATTTAACACGCCCACAATGGAAGCTGCATATAAAGTTCTCTTGAAGTGGTACTAGGTCCCTGTCCGCATTGCATGTTCGAACCCCGGGTATGATGATAGGTGCTTCAGAGGCTGTGGACAATGGGGTGACGTGGTTCACACCTTTTGGTCGTGTCCACGCCTTAGGGGGTTCTGGTCCAGGGTTTTTGCCTCCTATACACCATATTCCATTTCCCTGTCCCCTAGGAAGCTAAACTGGCCCTGTTAACATTGTCCGATCCAGGGATTATCCTCTCACCAACAAAAATTAGCCACCTATCTGTTCATAGCCACTAATAGTATCATCGCCAAGGCGTGGAGGAAACCATCAGTGTCGTTTCAAATGTTGAAAACCAATCTGACGACCCTGATGTTACATGAAAAAATGTCCAGTATTTTACATGATTCTCATGCCAAATTGTTGAAAATATGGAGTCCCTGGTGGACCTTCGCCTACCCTGTCCCCATTAGGTTTGGCTATTTCCTAAGTCTCTACCCAGGCCTGCATTAACTTCCACCATCCCCTCTCCCTGCCCTTCTTCCTCCTGCTCCTTTCCTTCTACCCTCATCTCTTTCTGTCTTTTCCTATCCCGTTTTTTTTAAAAACATTTGTGGTTTTCCACACTTATTATACTAGAATCTGGGTCATTTAAGCAGGTCTACAGATTAGGTCATAAGACTGCACTGTAAATATTTGCATTGTAAACAAAGTTGTTGTAGCCATCGCCCTGCTTATCTGTTTTTGTCTTATACCCCTGTGTGGGCGACCAGTTGTATTGATGTGCTGTATGTTCTAATAAAAATTATTGAACCAGAAAAATAGAAAAAAAAAAACTGACCTTTGACCCTGACCTTGGCCCAGACACTAACCCTGGCACAGACCTAGATCAAACCTTGATCTAGGTATTTTTATTTATTTATTTATTTTATTTTAGAAACACTTTTTTTTCTCTCTGAAAGGACAGAGAGAGATGTATCTCTCTCATCCATTCATAGTTACATGGATGTAACTATGTCTGGCTGAAAAAAAGACAAAAGTCCATCCAGTTCAACCAAAAAAAAAACATAATCCTATACCCACAGTTGATCCAGAGGAAGGCAAAAAAAAAACCAGCAAAGCATGATCCAAATTGCTCCTGCAGGGGAAAAAAAATTCCTTCCTGATCCCCCGAGAGGCAATTGGATATTCTGTGGATCAACTTTACCTATAAATGTTAGTATCCAGTTATATTCTGTGTATCCAAGAAACAATCCAGGCCTTTTTTAAAGCAATCCACTAAGCTGGCAAGTAAGAGAAAACACTGGGGGTGGGCTTCGCAGTGACTGGTCACTGTGATAGCCAGTCAGAGGCTATCACAGTGATCAGGTGACCCAGATTTGAGAGTTCTGGGTCCTGATTGTTAGAACAGGACTCGGGGTTCTCCGTGACACCCCGGTCTTTGTGCAGGAAGTGTGCCGTGCTGTGCGCTCCCAGCAGAAATACAGGAATGCAAATTAGCGTCCCCTCATAAAAAAGCTCAGTTCTGTGAGGTCGCTAATTTGCATGCGGTCAGCGTCAAGGGGTTAAGGTTAATCCGCTTCTCCTCCATTTTCATTCAGTGGCCCTGCGTCTTCTTACACTCCCTGAGATTGAATTTTTTTCTTTCACTATGCTAGAATCACCATTAAGATATTTGTATATAGCTGTCATATCTCCTCTCAAGTGTCTCTTCTCCAGGGTGAATAAGTTTAATATTTGTAGTCGTTCCTCATAACTAATGTCCTCCAGTCCCCTTATTAGCTTGGTTGCTGTTCTCTGGACTTCCCAGTTCTTGCAAATCCTTCCTGTGAATTGGTGACCAGAACTGAATGGCATACTCCAGGTGTGGCCGAGCCAAAGTTTTTTTTTTTTTTTTTTTTTTTTTTTTTTGTTTTATCTCTTGAATGAATACCCTTTTTTATGCATGCTAAAATTCTGCTAGCATTGCTTTCTGCAGCTTGACTTTGCATGCCATTGCTGAGCTTATGATCTACTAGGACCCCCATATCTTTTTCCTTCATGGATTCCCCCAAAGGTTCTCCCCCTAGTGAGTAACTTCCATCCATATTCTTAGCCCTCAAGTGCATTAATTTACATTTTTCAACATTAAACCTAATTTACCATGTACTTGCCCACCCTTTTATTTTCTTCTTGTAAAGTTTCAATATCCTGCAATGAAGTAATTACCCTACTTGGCTACGTATTATTAGCAAACAATGAGATTGAGCTATTTATACCAACCTCTATATAATTTATGAATATATTAAACAGAATTGGTCCCAGAACAGAGCCTTGGGGTAAGCCACTTACAACTCCAGACCAATCTGAGTATACACTATTTATCACCATCATTTGGATGCGCCCCTCTAACCAATTTTTTATGTAGGTACAAACCTTGTGGTCCATGCCTACAGACCTATAAATTAAGCGTTTATGTGGAACTGTATTGAATGCTTTTGCAAAATCCAGATATACCACATCCACAGGCCTTGTTTTTAAATAAAACATGGCATTATAAAATCAAGCATTACATATTACTTATTTTATCTAAGGATCTTATATTGATTATATGGCACAATTTGTTTGGGTTTTTTTTTTTTACAGGACAGCAACCCTAGAACAAGCAACAGATAATGCCAAAGTATTTGGAAAAGAAGTTCTAAAAATGTTTCATTCAATGAAGTTGAATGTTTCAGATATGAGAGGGGTACGTAGATTAAACAACATCATTCTCATTTCATTTGTTATAATAGTGTTTCACATTGCTTAAAAATGTAATACTATCATTCAGCAATGGCCAACTCCAAAACAAATTTCAAGTTCACTTTGCAAGTCTTCTGTTCCTTTCTCATGTCCATTAAGGACTAGCATAGTGTTGTCCATATGGTATTTTAGAGAGCTAGTTTAATGACCCGGTTCTTCTATTTCACAGTGTTCCACTGAAATCTGCAGAGGAGAGCATTGTGGTTTTGTCCATTGCCCAAGGTTCTGGCGCCATCTTGGGAATGTCAAAATTAAAGAAGCCTGTAGATTTCTGCTTTGCTTTCGGTTTGAGCTGATGATTTATGCTTAGTAGATAGAAGAGGGTTTCACCATGTTGTCTCTCATTATAACGTCCGTTTGTAGGTTTAGAGGAGCCTGTTACTTAGGCATAAGCGCCCAGGTGGTATGGAGCAGAGTCTCTAGGTAGCCATGTTTGTCCCCTGCACCCCAAAAACAAATTTCAAAATGTAAAAGATTTCAGAATGTTTACCCTTTTGTTGGGAAGAAAATGTCAGCTGTTCCTATATGTTTTCTATTTTTTTATAAGGTGGGACTTCAGATGCACCAGTTGGTTTCAGCACATGCATCTAATTGTGGCCCCTTGCCACTTAAATCTAGCCTGATGCCAGGAGTGTCCCGTTCACTGATTGACATGTTTCATGATAAGAGAAAAAAGCAGCCCACCGAAGAACTACCTGAGAATAAGACAGGTAATCTAGTACTTGACATGCGCTATGTAATAATGTATGTTGTTTATAAAGGGTGCATTATCCTAAGAGTTTCAAAGTTTTCAGGCATCTTCTGTCCAACATATTTTGTAGTTTGGATGTTTTTTGGCAACAGACTGTACTTTAGTAATTTGACCACCAGTGTAACCCTTGAATTACAGATATGAATTGTATGAGTTCTGTGGCTGGTTAAATGCTGTATAAAACTAGAAAAGTTGGAAACCCTAACAACTGCAAAACACCTCCTCATGATCAAATATGGAAATATTGGCTGATCTTGCTATGTGCTCAGCTGTCAGGGAAATATGAATTATAGTTCAGTTTGTGACCAGGTGTAGCCTATAAGTGTGTTGAGTGAAGTAGTCACTTCCAACAGTATAAGTCATCCGACCCATAAGGCGTGGGGGAGAAAAAAGTATGTCAATTTAACATAACACTATATAACATCTGTCATATTCCCACGTCAAGAACAAGGAAAGGAAAGGAAGGTGAAAAAGGGGAAAGGAAGGGTTCAGACTGTGGAGGGGGGGGGGCGGGCAAGAGAGATTAGGCATAGCTCAGTCAAATCCCCAGCTAAATTCACCACATGCATTAAAAGTAACTTGAAGCATTATTCATAGGGCCAAGCCATGGAATCCTTACTGAGGGAAAAAAAGGAAAATATGGATTCTAATCATCCCGAATGTATAAATACAAACAGCTATTATAATACAAAACGTAACCACTTGCCTACCGGGCACTTTTACCCCCCTTCCTGCCAGGCCAATTTTTTTTTTTCTGCTTTCTGCGCTGACGCACTTTGAATGACACTTGCGTGGCCTTGCAATTGTCTTTTTTAGACATATAGAGCTTTCTTTTGGCAACCCAGTGCGTTAGTATGTAGATGAATGTGGCCTCAGCAAGCACCACTCCAGCCACTTGGGCACCAGATAATTTCACATGTGGATAAAAAAAAGCATATTGTAACATATACACTATATTGCCAAAAGTACTGGGACACCCCTCCAAATCATTGCATTTAGGTGTTCCAATCACCTCCATGGCCACTGGTGTATAAAATAGTACCTAGGCATGCAGACTGCTTCTACAAACATCTGTGAATGAATCGGTCGCTCTCAGAAACTCAGTTAAATCAAGCGTGTGCAATAAATCCATCCGTGAAATTTCCTTGCTACTAAACATTCCACGCTCAACTGTTGGTAGTATGATAACAAAGTGGAAGCAACTGGGAACAACAGCAACTCTGCAACCAAGTGGTAGGCCACAAAAAATTACATAGCGGGGTCAGTGCATGCTGAAGTGCTCACTGCGCAGAAGTCGCCAACTGTCTGCAGAGTCAATAGCTAAAGACCTCCAAACTTCATGTGGCCTTCAGATTAGCACAACAACAGTGCATAGAGAGCTCCATGGAATGGGTTTCCATGGCCGAGCAGCTCCATCCAAGCTTTACATCACCAAGTGCAATGCAAAGCATCAGATTCAGTGGTGTAATGCACGGCACCACTGGACTCTAGAGCAGTGGAGACGTGTTCTCTGGAGTGACGAATCACCTTTCTCTGTCTGGCAATCCGATGGACGTGTCTGGGTTTGGCGGTTGCCAGGAGAACGGTACTTGCCTGACTGCATTGTGTAAAGTTTGGTGGAGGGGGGATTATGGTGTGGGGTTGTTTTTCAGGGATTGGCCTTGGCCCCTTAGTTCCAGTGAAGGGAACTATTAAGACGACAGCATACCAAGGCATTTTGGACAATTTCATGCTTCCAACTTTCAGGGAACAGTTTGGGGATGGCCCTTCCTGTTCCAACATGACTGTGCACAAAGCAAGGTCCATAAAGACATGGATGACCAGGTTTGGGGTGGTGGAACTTGACTGGCCTGCACAGAGTCCTGACCTCAACCCGATAGAACACCTTTGGGATGAATTAGAGTGGAGACTGCGAGCCAGGCCTTCTCGTCTGACATCTGTGCCTAACCTCACAAATGTGCTTCTGGAAGAATGGTTAAACATTCCCATAGACACACACATACAGGAACAGGTTTCAGATGCTTCAGAGAGCGTAATAGACCAAGCAGCAAGGACCCCAGGCCATAATACAGTTTAAATAGACTGCCTGGTGTTTGTGCGTGCTCGCGCACTTGTTCGAGCTCGTGCACACATTCATGCATGCGTACCCGTGAATCGGTCGCAAACAACTGTTTTGCGCACTGGAATGCATCTTTCCTGATAAAGTCATTTTAATATTACCACAAAACATTTACCTGTTTACAGATGCACATATTCTACTAGAAATGTGTCTATGTGGCTCTTCCTATGTATAACCTGTTTTTAATTTATTCTCACAGTTTTTGTTGCTGCTTTGGATGTTCAGATTTCATCAGCATTCGGAACATGTACTTCCATTACTTCTTATAAGAGTGAAGCTTCTAGCCAAGATCCAAGTACCAGCAAAGCAGCCTTCCCTGTGAGGAAGAATGGCCTGCACAGTCCTATCAGTGTTAAATCAAGAGTTAATTTCACTATTGAAGTTCCATCCCCTTCTGAGGTTTGTGATTTTTTCTGCAAGGCTACTGTGTTACATTTTTCTTTAATTATTTTTTCTCATTTACTTATTATTTGTGTTATCTAGAGTTTAGGCTATATTTGATATGCTTATGTTTCAGTGATTACATTTTAAAAAATGGGTTATTTATGATCTCCTGTATTTCTGGATATCTTACGAAGCATAGGACAGAATTTGTCATAGTAAATATTGGTGCGGAAATATTCCTATAAAATGATTGTACAATAATTACCAATTATTTGTTGGCTGTTAAAACTACCTTAACAAATCAATGGAAAGAACCACAATTTTTAAAGTGTCTGCAATTCTTCAATAAGTGGATACTTTTGAGAAACTGATAGCACTGAAAGAAAACAACCAATTCTGATTTTATCACTAATGGAAAGCTTGGTGAAGATTTAGGAATCATACACCTCAACCCCAGCATTATCTTAAAGTAGTCATAAACCTCTAACATGGAAAATGAATAAAGCATATCCTTCTATAGTGTGTACTTTCCTCAGTCCAAAGTGCCAAGTTTAATTCCTCACTCAAAACCCAACAAATATATTCATATAATTAGTTATAGTTGTAGAGTTTACTTATTTATTTTGTAAGTACTTTACATTTTTTAATACTTATGTACAGTTTTAAAATTTCATATTTTACAAGTACTATTTCCTTGGCATCATATTGTATTTGTAAAGATCCTGGCTTCTTCATATGACTTCTTCAATCCCTGGCTTCTTCATATGACATATATTATAGTCTGCAGTGGTGAGATTTCCCCACCGCAATTTTTACGTTTATTCCTTTCCATCTGGACGTTTTGGGTGTTCCTGTCCATATAAGATATCACATTAAGAAACTATCTGGTGGTTTAACTGTCCAGCATCACCCAAAAACTGGAATGTAACAGCTTGGGAATATAATCAAATATGCCCCTTGTACTATCAACAAGTATTGTGTGCAGCAAATTTACTGGTTCTTAATATACTGATTGAAGTGACAGTGGGAGAGCTGAGCTAATCTTAGATAGGGTATTTAATTGATACCACAACACCAACTGCAAATATTTGCCTTTTTTTTACCATTAATAAGGCAATGGTTGTCTTGTAATGCCTGTCCCTTCTTCATGGTACCCAATGTATGTTGAGACATTAGTGTATATGGTTGTAGTAATGTTAGTTGGCACTCCTTATATACAGCTTAAACAACTTTAAAAATGAAACAAGATCATTTCTTTCTGTATATTTACACCTATATTATTGTGGTAATTGTCCTTTTAGGATACATTATTCATAAGTAATAATCTTTCTGTCATCCGTTCATACCATATTGGGTTCTACCAGCACCTGTTTTTTCATTTGTACTAATAGTTACTTTTATATAGGTGACCCAACTGTTTGGGAGATCAGTGAGGGGGGGGATTCTTTGTTGGGGCAAAAAAACTGGTTTCAGTTTCTAAACCATGTTAAATATTCAATAAATGGTATTTTATTAAAAAAAGAAAAGAGATAAGGCAATCATGGAAGCATATATATTAACTGACCATTGTAATGCTAGCACTTTGAAAATATGTGTGGGAAATATCAGGGGTCTAAACAGATGCTAAACCTAATGTTTTGCCTTTGAGACAAAGAAAGGAGATTGAGGACACAGTCCTCAATCTCCGTCTCTGCAGCTGCTGCAGCACAGAATGAATGGACAGGAATAGCTCTGTATAAAGCTTCCTGTTCTTTCACAAACTGAAGCATTGTAAACAGTTTACTATGCTTAAGTTATGAATGGACACAGGAGCAGTCGGTACCGATCATTGACTGTGTCCATTCAAAAAAGGAAGGGGTCAGTTAATTACATGCTGGCCCCCTTATTCGCTCTCCATCCTGAAATATCCCTCGCAGCAGCTGTTGGGAGAGGGGAATCCGGCAGCACTGGGGGGGGGGACCAGGAGAGCACACAGGTATCTGAGGGCAGCAGGGAACAAGTAATCTGGATAATAATATAAAGAAACACCTTCTCCAGTGGCGCTGTGAACAGTGAATCAAAACTATTCATTCATTAAATGTAACTCAATAAAAGTCCTTCATAACATAAGTCCATCAACTTTTGTGGATATCCACATAATTATGACAAGCGTTTTAATCTATATACTTTTTGAGTGGCTTTTTAACCTTATTGAATAAAACTTTGAACATTGGTTACAGTTCCGGTAGAAACAAATATGATGGGAGCTGTACAGGCTCCCTGAAGAATGGGACCGGGTCGCAGTTGTGACGCCTATAGTTACTCCTCTGGTATGTGTGCTTCCCAGTGCTGATGTTATTTCACCCTTAACAATAGGATAGAATATATAAGGGGCTTTATTTTCCTATAAATAGCACTTTATATGTAACATGTTAATTTGTATAGTTTGACATGTTATTTTAGTCAATGATGACATTTGTTTTACAGATTGACCCATCTGTCCTGGAAGCTCTACCTCCAGATATCAGGGAACAGGTGGAGCAGACATTTGCTGCTCAGCATAGACCACCTTCTGCCGAGAGCAAGAGACAGGCCTCAGACGACAACAGCACTGAGCAGCCAGTGGCAACTGTCCTTTTACAGATTCCACCGCTGTCAGAGCATGGAGAAGAGGCAGGCATTAATGTCATTGCCTTACCAGCCTTTTCGCAGGTGAGAGCTGTCACTTCCAACTATAGACATGAATAGCTAGTCATTTTATTGTGCCCTATAGGTGGTTTCATTTGGGCGCTGAACAAGAACATAGCTGTGAGATTTAGCAGTACACAGTATCTATGTCTCCTTAAATGTAATAGAAATTATTTTGTTTTTCAAAATAGTTATCTTAGAACATGTTAAGTCACATTGTTGTATTTTTTAGAGTTACCTTAGATGTTCAGTAATGTTCGTTACTCAATTGTTTAAAAAAGAAGTGCAGGATTAAAAAAAAAAAAAAATGATACGATGCTGCAGCAATCCCTTCCTGGCTTTAAGACTGAGAACTGAGCGATCATATGATCGCTGATTGCTGAGTTCTCAATGAGCAAAAAGAGGTGACTGTCAGTCACTACTCTCTGCTCTGCCCCTCCAGTGTTCACTGGAGCGCCTGGCTGTGGAGGGGGCGGGAGCGGCTGGCTGAGGCACTCAGGGCTGAGCCAGCTGTTGGTCAGGCATCTGGGCAGATCCCAACATTTTTATTGGAATCACTGCAGAGCCTAGACTGGCTCTGTGACATCAGTGGACAATGGGCTTTAGCTTGCTGTTGGCTGAATCTGGGTCACAGGAGTGCAGTGTACTCTTGTGACCTACAGGAGAAGTATGGCCAAAAGAGGTTTTAAATCATAGAAAAGCTTAGAGTAGTCATACAATAGTGAGAGGAAACAGGTTTGTCACAGTATACAGCAAGTTCACAAAATGAAATAACACAGCCTAAAATGAGGGCAGAGAGAAGATTGCTAGATAAGAACTACTGTAAGTATGGTCCCCTGTTCCCAGCATGGTAAGCATTGCTTTGGGTCCAGATTAACATCAGTTTGAATTACTAAATTTATTGTATCGGTGCCCTCAGCCCAATACCTATGAAGCTTAGGACAATGCCAAAGCATGTGGATTAAATCACCATGATCTCTACCACATTTATCACAAAAATGGTCTTTTGATAAACCTATTTTAAAAAGCGTAAGGGGAAGATAGTGAGAACACAGTAATATTATGTACATTTAGGAAAGTCCCTGAGATACATTCGGAGAACTCAACTGAACAGATTGCAGTGCACTTTCCCAATGATCCTTCACTATGGCACAAATATCAGTCTTCCAACTCTCCACTTTGCATGAATAGTTTTCCAATTTAGGAGCATAGCATAACGGGAAATAAATTCTTTGGTTGTAGCATTGCTTTGCCTGACGTTAAAAATTAGGGTAAGAGTAAGATGCCAGTCATGGGAGGGCTCCTGTGTGATCATTGTGTGCATAAGTTGCAGTGCAACTCTGAAAAGGATAATAGAGCATCCCCTCTAAAAACATGGTGGAGGTGTGTCAACGTTACTTAATTCAGTGACAGTAGTTTATATATATATTAAAAAAAAATGGAACCAACATTATACCTTTTTCTCCTAAACGTTCCCCTCATCCTCTTTTTAGTAAGAAAAAAAATTTAGCATCGTACTCCGTGTGCTGGCTGACTGCCTTGTTCGTAGGTAACCTAATAAATAGTGATGCACTGATATATCGGCTGAAAATAGGGTTATCTGCGTTTTGCCAAGAGAAAAAAAAGGCACCGATAACGATAATTGACCATAATGCAAAATCACATCCCATTGACTTCAATGCAAAAATGTCCCCGATTGACTTCAATGCAAAATTACATCCCATTGACTTCAAAGCAAAATCGCATCCCATTGACTTCAATACAAAAATGCCCCTATTGACTTAAATGCAAAATTGTGTCCTATTAACTTCAATGCAAAATCACGTCCCCTTGATGTCAATGCAAAAACGCCCCTATTTAAGTTTTTAATTTTATATATATTTTCTTTTTTTTTTACTGTCCAGTTTTTGTGTGTTACTTTCAATAAAAGTTATATTACACTACTGGATTCTATTTTTAAAATTCATATTAATTTAAATTCATGATATTAATTTCAAAAGTCAAATATAATGCAATATATATATATATACCGTATTTTTCGCTCCATAAGACGCACTTTTTTCCCCAAAAAAAGGGGGGAAAATGTCAGTGCGTCTTATGGAGCGAATATAAAGCGGGCGGTCCGGTATTTCTGCAGCCACCATGTCAGAATACCGGGCCGGCCGCTCAGCTCTTCTCTCCTGCAGGGCCTTACTTGTTCCTCGCTCCAGCGCTGCACAGTCTTCCCGCGCTGGCTTCTGTGACAGCCGGGTCCCCACTGCGCATGTGCTGCGCTTTGTGAATGATCCGGTGTCTTCTGGGACACATGACCGGTCCCAGAAGGCGCCGGGCCATTCACAAAGCGCAGCGCTTCTCGCGCATGCGCAGTGGGCACCCGGCTGTCACAGAAGCCGGCCCGGGAAGAAGGAAGGAAGGACAACTCCGCGGAAGTGGGAGCGGGTACCTGTCAAATTCAGGTACCCGCTCCCCCTCCCTCCCCAAAGGTCAGCAGTCTCTGGTCATTCCCTGCACTGTCTGCAGCCTCTGGTCATTCCCTGCACTGTCTGCAGCCTCTGGTCATCCCCTGCACTGTCTGCAGCCTCTGGTCATCCCCTGCACTGTCTGCTCCTCTGGTCATTCCCTGCACTGTCTGCAGCCTCTGGTCATTCCCTGCACTGTCTGCAGCCTCTGGTCATTCCCTGCACTGTCTGCAGTCTCTGGTCATTCCCTGCACTGTCTGCAGTCTCTGGTCATTCCCTGCACTGTCTGTAGCCTCTGGTCATTCCCTGCACTGTCTGCAGTCTCTGGTCATTCCCTGCACTGTCTGCAGTCTCTGGTCATTCCCTGCACTGTCTGCAGTCTCTGGTCATTACCTGCACTGTCTGCAGTCTCTGGTCATTCCCTGCACTGTCTGCAGTCTCTGGTCATTCCCTGCACTGTCTGCAGTCTCTGGTCATTCCCTGTACTGTCTGCAGTCTCTGGTCATTCCCTGCACTGTCTGCAGTCTCTGGTCATCCCCTGCACTGTGTCCGCCATCTCTGGTCATCCCCTGCACTGTGTCCGCCGTCTCTGGTCATCTCCTGCACTGTGTCCGCCGTCTCTGGTCATCTCCTGTACTGTGTCCGCAGTCTCTGGTCATCTCCTGTACTGTGTCCGCAGTCTCTGGTCATCTCCTGTACTGTGTCCGCAGTCTCTGGTCATCTCCTGTACTGTGTCCGCAGTCTCTGGTCATCTCCTGTACTGTGTCCGCAGTCTCTGGTCATCCCCTGTACTGTGTCTGCAGTCCATTGGTTCAGAATATTTTTTTTTTTTGTTTTTCCCCTCTAAAACCTAGGTGCGTCTTATGGTCAGGTGCGTCTTATGGAGCGAAAAATACGGTGTATATATATATATATATATATATATATATATATATATAAACCATTTTTAAAAATGTGTTCATTTCTGTTTCGGTTTTCGGCCCAGTGCATCCTGAATTTTCGGTTTCGGTCCAGAATTTTCATTTTGATACACCACTATTAATAAAGTATGTGCTGCTGACTAGCACACATGCATTAATGCTCTCTACTGGGTAGGACCATGCATACTCCTTGGACAAAATATAGAGAGATTTTTTTCATCTTCACCTTGTTGCCAACTTTATCTACAGTAAAACATCTGTCCTGAGACCAGAACATTTCATTACGATTGCCTTAGTTTTGTGCAGGAAAGCAGTATAATTTACATGATGTGTTCTAGGGATTATTCTCCTAACTTGTGGTCCTGTTTATACAGCCTGTTACACTCCGTGCTACAGACTGTTATCTTCATTATGTTCTTTGTCATGTACCACAGCAGCATACAGAAGTGCAGAACATAGCTATTAAAAAGACAATCTCAAACAACTAGAGTTTAAAGTATAACTAAAGGCAAATGGAGAGGAATTAGAACCTATTGAGTTTTTATTGCTGTCTGTGCCCCCCTTTAGGGAGATTCGCCCTCTCTATTTGTCCTGTTTTACCATTTATCATTGAAAGTGAAAGTAAAAGAAAATCCCAAATGTTGAGTTGTCCCCAGAAAAGTAATAGAGGGCAAATCTTCCAATGGGGACACTAGTTCTAGTGACCTGGGGGGCGGGGGGGGGGGTTATGGAAGGGAGGGGCAAGAAATTCCCTTAATTTGCAGGGATCTCCTGTCACTTCCTGTGACAGGAAGTGAGTGTAAATCTCCCCAGTGAGGCACAGATGACAAAAGAAAAAATGGACGGGGGTTATAAACCCACCTTTACTCTATCTAAAATGAAAAACAAAATGTTGCCTATAGTTCTGAACTTGTTACATGTTTTCATTCACAAAAAAAAAAAAATTGCAGCTTACCTTTTTTAGATGTTGTGTTCTAGAAATTCAAGTAAATACTAAAATCCTACTAGTTCTCTTTGTTTATGAGGGGGCTGGGTAGCTCTGTTTGCCATAATTTATCCTATTTGTTCTATGCAATCTAATTATAAAATAAATTTGAACACTGTCTGAAAATGTCCAAAATGTTTAAAAACCTGTGTAATGAGCACTTCTGAATGTAGGATTTTTGATATTCTTCAGCTGTGCTTGAAACTGTTGTATTGTTTGCAAACCCTAAAGTCGGCCTTAAACAGTTTGAATCTTGGCTGTGTTGATGGGGAAATCGAGAGACTTTCTTTCCTACAACCCACGGTTGCAGGAAAGGTAATCGCTCCGTCTATGGCTGGCGTAAAGAGCCTAATCATTAAACTACTTTACCAAGTAATTAGCGCTTATCACATCCAGCCATTGTTGTATCTTCTGTTTTCCCAACACTTTTGGGGTTGTTGTCCTAAAACCTTTGGGGTTGTTCTCTTCCTTTCAAAATGCAAAGAATATTTGTGTGAATTCCTTTGTAAATACTGTATGCCGGAGCTTGAAAAATGCTATTAGTCATCGGATACAGTATTTAAAAGAACAGATGTGTTATCCATAGCAATTAAACTAATTCTCCCTTTCATCCCTTCAGTCCAGGTTAGAAAATGAAAAAACAACACATCTCTATATCTCCTTTTTAGAAATCTTCCCATTCTGTCATTGCTACTTTATAAATGTTGTATCTGGATTGTTGATTGCATGTACATACATTGTGTCGTTTGTTCTAATAGGTAGATCCAGAAGTGTTTGCTGCTCTGCCCACTGATCTTCAGGAAGAGTTAAGAGCTGCTTATGGTCAAAGGAACAGGCAGTCAGACAGTAACATTGGTACAAACGCTGTACTTGGTAAGGCATCACTTATTAAGAGACAATGTTTTTAAACATTCTCCCTCTACCAAGTTGAACACTTAACCCACTGACACTTGCTAGTACTTGCTAGTCTGGCACCTCTTCTGTGTATCTAAATCCTTTGCATATTCCTCTACTTTCAATTCCTCCTTTCTTGTGAAATAAATGTTTCTTATGGACTCCACGTGCTACTTTAATGGGAATTAAATTGGAGATTTTATTCATGTATTGCAGAGACTTGTAGCCATGCCTGATTGGACCTTTTTAGCACTGCTATTCTTAAGACTTTGTGCATGTATTCACTTATCAGGGCAGGAAAAGGCGCAGCTCTACATTTTATTTAGGTTTATGTAACACCCCTTCTTTAGTGTCTGCCTTTTGTGATAACTGTCCGTGTATATCCTGCTACCAGGGACGGACTGACCATTTGGAAATTCGGGCACTGCCCGAGGGCCCGGGATCATTAGGGGGCCCCATGAGATGCCCCTGGTACCTTTTTCATAGACTTTTTTGAGTTTGGGCAAGGACACAGGGGCCCCATGATCCCCCATTGCCCGGGGGCCCCATGAGTTGTCAGTCCACCCCTGCCTGCTACTACACTGCAACTGCAATACACTGTGGGCTATAATTCTAGAGAAGGGAAGTGAACACATGGCTTACAGTACTGTGGAAATCAAATAATGACCATGAGCTCTTTCCACAAGCAGATAAAAGGTGTTGTATTATGCTGCATTTATGATTGAAGATGTACTTTCACAAATGAGGAATTAGCCTCTAAGGCTGATTTTTTTTTTTTTTTTTTTTAAAGACTGATTGTCAAGTGAATCAAATATTTTAGTAAAATGCTTGAAACATCATAGCACAAGTACAAATGTATGGACATTACTTCACATTGGGGCTTTCTTTATGTTTTTTTCAGTTCCAAAAAATCCTTTGCTGCAATTAAAACGGCCTCCCATGAAGTCAAAGAAAAAAAGTAGAAAGAAAAATCGAGGTAGTCCTGTAAAGAAGATGCAGAGTCCCCTGAAGAATAAGCTTTTTGGTAGCCCAGCTAAAAACTTTGGATATAATTTGAGTCCACAGAAGCTTAAAGATGGGACCTTAAAACAAGAAGCCATACCTCCTGGGCAATCTCAGGTAACCCAGACAATGAGCTTGCTTTTAAGTGCATTTTGCCTTCCTTATTAGGGTGGATCTGTAAAGGCATTTGGTCATTTATCCTAATTATAACATTGACTGCCCACAAGCTACGCAATGTAGCATATATATTTAGAACAATTGCATCCTCCCTATTCCCCTTTTGCCAGGTTTCCTGCATGGCTAATCTAATGTCATTTCCCATGACTCTCACTGCAGTCCTTTTAACCTGGAGGTGTTGCAAGTAGTAATGGGGCCCAAGGTACACATCATTCCTAGCATGCTGGGCACAGCAGTAGAAACCTGTACTCAACAAAGTAGTGACAACACACTTTATAGCTGGCGATAAACATCTATATTGGAGGGTGTTGAAAAGTGCACTTTTGCCAGTGCAGAGAGATCAGAGCTTGCAGCTCCATCTCTGTACCCGTCAAATCCATAGAACAGAGAACTGAGCACTCCTTGTGCCCCTTTGTTAATTAGAAGCATTATCTGTTTTAAGTTTAGAAGAGTCGTGTACTTGCATAACTCTTTGTTAATTTCCCCCATTGTGTGTCTCGGTCTTGCGACACTTTTCATTAGCAGAAATCTGAGTATCTACCGTACATATATTTTTATTTTTCAGGTTGAATTAGGTCCCACAACTTCAAATGCCCAAGGATCCCTGACAGAAGGATGCAATTCCCACAGAGCAAAAGCACCCAACTTGGCTGGTGCCATTGAGTTCAAAGATGTGAAAACCCTGCTAAAAGAGTGGATAACTACAATTTCCGGTATATTTTGCCAAAATCTAAAAAACAAATATACACTGATTTCTTGTGTTACTGTGGAATGAATGAACATATACAGGTTAATGTTGCTTGACTAGATAATTCAGCAATGACTCTGAGCCTGATTCATTAATCTACTGCAGAATACATACAGTGCCTTGAAAAAGTATTCATGCCTCTTGAAATTTTCCACATTTTGTCATGTTATAACCAAAAATGTAAATGTACTTTATTGAGATTTTATGTGATAGACCAACACAAAGTGGCATATAATTGTGAAGTGGAAAGAAAATGATAAATGGTTTTCCAATGTGTTTAGAAATAAATATCTGCAAAGTGTGGTGTGCATTTCTATTCAGCAATACTTTGTAGGAGTCAATACTTTGTAGAACCACATTTCACTGCAATTACAGCTGCAGGTCTTTTTGCGGATGTCTCTACCAGCTTTGCACATCTAGAGAGGGACATTTTTGCCCATTCTTCTTTGCACAATAGCTCAAGTTCTGTCAGATTGGATGGAGAGAGTCTGTGAACAGCAATTTTCAAATCTTGCCACAGATTCTCAATTGGATTTACAGTCAGGTCCATAAATATTGGGATATCGACACAATTCTTAACATTCTTGGCTCTATACACCACCACAATGGATTTGAAATGAAACGAACAAGATGTGCTTTAACTGCAGACTGTCAGCTTTAATTTGAGGGTATTTACATCCAAATCAGGTGTGAACGGTGTAGGAATTACAACAGTTTGCATATGTGCCTAACACTTGTTTAAGAGACCAAAAGTAATGAGACAGAATAAATAATCATAAATCAAACTTTCACTTTTTTAATACTTGGTTGCAAATCCTTTGCAGTCAATTACAGCCTGAAGTCTGGAACGCATAGACATCACCAGACGCTGGGTTTCATCCCTGGTGATGCTCTGCCAGGCCTCTACTGAAACTGTCTTCAGTTCCTGCTTGTTCTTGGGGCATTTTTCCCTTCAGTTTTGTCTTCAGCAAGTGAAATGCATGCTCAATCAGATTCAGGTCAGGTGATTGACTTGGCCATTGCATAACATTCCACTTCTTTCCCTTAAAAAACTCTTTGGTTGCTTTTGCAGTATGCTTTGGGTCATTGTCCATCTGCACTGTGAAGTGGCGTCCAATGAGTTGTGAAGCATTTGGCTGAATATGAGCAGATAATATTGCCCGAAACACTTCAGAATTCATCCTGCTGCTTTTGTCAGCAGTCACATCATCAATAAAATACAAAAGAACCAGTTTCCATTGGCAGCCATACATGCCCACGCCATGACACTACCACCACCATGCTTCACTGATGAGGTGGTATGCTTAGGATCATGAGCAGTTCCTTTTCTTCTCCATACTCTTCTTTCTTCCATCACTCTGGTACAAGTTAATTTTGGTTTCATCTGTCCATAGGATATTGTTCCAGAACTGTGAAGGCTTTTTTAGATGTCGTTTGGCAAACTCTAATCTGGCCTTCCTGTTTTTGAGGCTCACCAATGGTTTACATCTTGTGGTGAACACATCTGTATTCACTCTGGTGAAGTCTTCTCTTGATTGTTGACTTTGACACACATACACCTACCTCCTGGAGAGTGTTCTTGATCTGGCCAACTGTTGTGAAGGGTGTTTTCTTCACCAGGGAAAGAATTCTTCGGTCATCCACCACTCAGTTGTTTTCCGTGGTTCTTCCGGGGTCTTTTGGTGTTGCTGAGCTCACCGGTGCGTTCATTGCTTTTTAAGAATGTTCAAAAACAGTTGTTTTGGGCCGCACGCCTAATGCTTTTTGCTATCTCTCTGATGGGGGTTTGGTTTTGCTTTTTCAGCCTAATGATGGCTTGCTCTTCACTGAATAGTAACAGCTCTTTGGATCTTATCTTGAGAGTTGACAGCAACAGATTCCAAATGCAATAGCACACTTTAGAAATGAAACTCTGGACCTTTTATTCTGCTCATTGTAATTGGGATAATGAGGGAATAACACACACCTGGCCATGGAACAGCTGAGAAGCCAATTGTCCCATTACTTTTGGTCCCCTTAACAAGTGGGAGGCATGTCACATATACAAACTGATACTGTAATTCCTACATGAGTTCACCTGATGGGGGTTGTGAGTGGGGGGAAATATCTATTGTTTTCCCATTAAATATCCAATGCGTGTGTTGAGAAGGAAGGTGGGGGGAGCCCTCCATGAGTAGATTTATACCCTCTGCCAGTTTTGACCTGGGTTTTGCTATTAATTTGGGAAAGGGGGGGAGCGGAGGGGGGGGGGGGGGTGGTGAGGGAGGAGGGGGGTGGAGGGGGGTAATAGGGGGGGGGGGGAGAGGGGTACTGGGGGTGGGCTTTTCTTTAAGTAATGGTGCTCATGGGGAAACGTCGGGGGAGGGGTGGTTGGACACATGGACTGGCAATGGATTGGGGGGAAGGGGGGGGGGGGTGAGGTGGGGGGGGGGGTAGGTGGATGGGGGGGGGGTTAGGCCTTATATGGGGCGGCCTGATGGTGGGGGGGGGAAGATGGGGGTTACAGACTTTGTGATACTGGGGAATGGGGTGCGTTGGGGTATGCCCCACAACGCTCTGGGTAATGGGGATGTACTGGGAGCGCGAGCACAAGGTGGGTTTATAAACAATGTTGGGTGAGGATGGTGTTTGTGAGAGGTTTAATTTCTGGGGGGTGGTCGGGATGGGTTAAGAGTGGGCTTTTTGAAATGTGGTTAAACTTTGTGCTGGGGGGGGAAAAATGGTTTTGGGAGGATGGGGGGTTCTGTAATAGTATGGGGATGGGGGGAAGTTAAATGTGGAAGCAGAGATGTGCTAAATTTTCAATGGCCTGGGGGGTTATGAATGGGTGCCAATTTTTGGGGCTTGAGGGTGGTTGCAAGTGACTGAGGATGGATGGCTTGCAATGCAGGGGTAAGTATGGGTCTGGCAGTGGGGTGAGGGGTTGGACCAGAACTCGGAGTATAAGCCCTGGACCCATACCTTATTCTAATGAAGGGTTGCGGGGGAGGGGCTGGTAGGGCGGATGAGTTTGGGGAGGAGGGCGAAGGGGAGGGGGGAGGGGGGGGGGTACAGGACGGGGGGGGTTGTCTTAGTGGGGTGGTGAGGTGCTATGTTTAAGATGTAGGTAGTAAAAACAGCACAATAGGTAAAAATGAGTTGAAGGGCACGTAAATGTTTTGCGGGGAGTAGCCATAAGAAGCACCCTTTTGGGAGGTTTTGCCCCTCCTCAAGGAGTTAATCCAGACAGTCCCGGGGTAATATAACCTCCGATTAAATATTAAAGTTTTGGGTGGTGTTTAAAAAAAATTTTGTGGGTCAGTACAAGTTATCTGGACACCCCTGTAGATTGGGGCCCGATTTAGTCCCTGGACAAGTAGTTTTTTTTTTTTTTTAATTGTCCACACCCCTGTGTTCTGTAGATGGTATGTCTAGGTGCATTCAGGCAGTGCTTATTGTCAGTGCTTGCAATCTCAGGCAGTATGGGCATGAGCAGGTTCATCAGTGCTGTGGGGTGAAGTATACCTAGGAACCCCTATACAGTATAGGTTTAGGTTTAGACCAGACATACTAGTTCCACTTTGTTTTATGGGATAAAGGTCTTTTGGTTGGCACTCTTTGCCTAGTTATCACAACCGAGCTCTGTACAAAAAAATAAGTGTAATAAGCCTAAAGCCCAGCCATTACATGGCGTATCGAACTTTTGAATTTGTGGAATCGTGATCAGTTTTTTTTTTCATGCAAGCCCTGGAGTCCATCTATAGGGCTGATTTTAGTGCTGAGTTGCCATGCTAAGCAAAACTCTGAGGTCGTCCACCTAAGTCCAGCTGGAATCCAATAGAACTCATGAAGTAGAGACCATGGCAAACCCTGATCCCTCACAAGGGGGGTGTTTGACTAAATTCAATAAATTCAGGTGTGCCAGTTGTCTGCTAGGCTATATACCAACTAACCTTAGAAGGTCTGGTAGGGTGTTAGAACTCAGTTTTCACCAATTGAAATTATGACTTCAATCTTTCCTTTTTCCCCTCCCTTTTTCTTCTGCAGATCCTATGGAAGAAGATATATTACAGGTGGTGAAATATTGCACTGATCTAATAGAAGAAAAAGACTTGGAGAAATTAGATTTTGGTCATAAAATACATGGGAAAAGGTACCTTGTCTCCTATGTAAAAGCAGTGTACACAAAGCTGGGTAATGTAGCAGTTGTAATCACAAATGTAGAAACTTCACTACGTCCCTGGAACATGGATTTCTAAATGGGAGTGTCTGTCTTCTATCTAATCAGCTGATGCATGTTCAAGCATTCTGATGAGGATAGTTGCAGTATTTGCATCCCTTAAAGCGGTATTAAACCGCAAAAACAAAATTCACAGAAACCTCCCTGCAAGTTAGAACATAATGTGCTAGTTATGAAGGGCTTACCTGAAAACAAGGCTTTCATCTTCACCCGGTCTTCCTTCTTGATTTGTGAGCTGCAGCCATCTGATTGGCCAAAACCGCAATGTCATCACTCCTGTGCATGCATAAAGAGAGTTTCAGCCGCAGCGCGACTCTCTCAATAAACGGCACGCTGTCCATTGAGAGCGCAGTGCGCATGTGCTGGTGACATCACCGGCACATCTACAGTAAATATCTCCTAAATGGTGCACCTTTTGGAGATATATTTACAGTACCTACAGGTAAGCCTTATTAACCATTGGCCCTCCTGAAGATTTACCTCCCACCTGACCAGGCCATTTGTTGCATTATGGCGCTGCGTTACTTTAACTGACAATTGCATGGTCATGCAACGCTGCACCCAAATTAAATTTACGTCCTTTTTTTCCCCACACATTGAGCTTTCTTTTGGTGGTATTTGATCGCTGTGCGTTTTTTTTTTATTTTTTGTGCTATAAATAAAAAAAAAAAAGCGGCAATTTTTGAAAAACAATATTTTTGACATTTTGCTATTAAACATTTTATAAAAAATTGCAGCGCTAAAATAGTAATAATAATACTATCAAATGGCAATATATAATGATATCAAATGGCAATATAAAGTTATAAGTGAAACAGCGCTACAAAGGAGCGCAATAAAGTGAAAATGTGTCGTCCTTTATGTACGAAAACCAGTGACATAAACGTACAGTATAAACGTATAGTATTCCACACAAATTCTTCCTTAGAAATGTGCTTATATCATCCAGTGTGTGCGGATAATTAGTAGCTCCTTCACAGAGTAAGACACATATGGTGTTCGTGACTCCTTGTGGGTAAGGGGAAAAGAGGTGTGCTTGCACTCAACCGGACGCACAACCAAATTGTGCATGTAAAGGTATTCTGTAGGGCACAAGTGGTCACCTAGGAAGTGATGGGGATATGGCACTTCTCAGGTACTCGCTACACCCTTAATCGACTTCAGACCTCTCCGTAGGACCCTCACAGCAAACAGGACAGCTGAAGGAGCTGTGGGAGCAGATGGCTGCTATAAGGTGGAGATCCAGCGTTACTACGTTGCTGTGAAACCAAGTGGAGTTACACCGAGGAGCTGTCCTGTTTGCTGTGAGGATCCTAAAAGGTGCAAAATAGAGTTTACTTCCACTTTCACTCCTTGCATGTCATAAAATCTTTCACACTATATCTTTTTCCCTGTAGCCTTGGCAATAAATTCCTTAATTTTCCTTAACTCTGGAAGAACTACATCCCTTACACTTGTGACAAATGAAGAAGCAAGTTATAAACGCAGGGCCCTCGAACCCCCTCCTGTATTGTATTGCTTCTGTCTTGTCTCATGTTCTGTCCCCCTTGCTACTGTACAGCGCTGAGCATACCCTTTGGCGCTATATAAATACTGTATAATAATAATAAACGGCATCATTCTGTTGGCATACAGATTACATGAGGGGTCAATCACCCCTGGTGCCAACTTATTACGAAGAGTGTGAGCCTTCTTATATACAAATTGTGGAAGTTAGGGTAATACAGATCCAACTACCTTTTGCTCAAGAAGGATGTTCCAGTATTTTTTAATAATCCTTTCAGTTTTCGTATACTGTATATGATAATCGAGTATTACTCTAAATTCATTAATCTCTGTTCTTATTCTGTATTGAAATAAGTTGAAATCACAAACACATCTCTGACCTCCAACATGAAAAGCGGATTACTCTCATATTATGCAGATTGCTACGCCAATTGTAAATGAGCCAATAATGGCGCGATGCCTCTATGCAATAGGTATTTTTGCAGCACCTGAATAGTTTGTGAGATATTGAGTTGGTCGTGTGTTTTGTGTTTATAGATTTAGATAGTATCCAGACCCGAAGTTTAAATGTGAGGTATATTAAGAGTTTTTTCATTCTTGATATATGTGGAATATCAGAAACTTCTAGGACCCGAGAAGATAGAGGGAATTTTAATTCTCAAAATAGACACAAATAGATATATCATTCTGTCATCTATCATAGAATAAAAACCCGTGAGACTGTTATTTTGAAGCCGGTCCCTGACTTGAAAAAATACTAAATTCATTTCATCGCATCCGACATGCTACCTAACAAACCAAACGGGCTGTGCTTCGATCGAGTAGCCTAGCTGTCAGTCCCCGACCTACCAATCACTGCCTGTCTGTCATGTGACTCCACTTGTAAAGGTATAATGAACTCCATTGTCCTAAGTCTGCTACAGAGGCTTATTGAAGTTGGATTGAATTTTTCTTCTGGTAGAGTCATCTTGAGATTGTAAAAGTGAATGTCTTTACCTGTATATATCTAACTCTTTCATAGTGGAACATGCTCATTTACCACTGTTACAATCTCCTATAAATTAACTCTAATCCTTTTCTTCCCAGCGGTTAGCAATACACTACACTTACGCTAGTAATCTATGACAATCTATGTATAATTTAAACAGAGACTCAATGTGACCTTCTTCTATAGATGCTTTCATGTATCGTATCACTATCTCGTGACTGTAGTGATTACTCACTTCTTAATGACGCACGCATCAATATAACGTTACTAGCATCTCTGTCCGGTTAGGTACCTCAGATTTCTGCCATCAATATACATGGAGAGCGAATGAGTCAGACGCCTTAGTCGCGCCAGTCATACGCCCGCCAAGAAGTACCCATTCTCTACCTGAGTCTTATATTTATTTCACAGGCACCACCCCAGGGTCGTATGTGACACAATTGGTGAGTGAGGGAAGAATGTGGAGCTAGCGATGCATTACGGGTGGGAGGTTAAATTGAGGCTCTTGTCTTGTCTGTGCATAGCCTCGGTGGTGTGCTCTAATAGTGCGACTGTCAAGCACTGCTGTGTATGATTTCTTCTAGCTCAATTTGGTAGGTTTTACTTTAAAAGGCTCGACTCGAAACTAGAAGGCTATGAGAATACTCGGATAGCTTACTCGGGGTGGCGAGAGCACAACTCGAGTATCCTCTACATCATGGAGTGGTAATCGTTAGATTAGCGGCCGGAGAAAGTGACATGATCTCTCAAAACGTCCTGCTATCACAAGAAGCACAGTTATGTTGGGTTCTCTCCTATCCGTCATCACTTGTGGCTGCTTTAGTAAAAGAAATATCTGGACGTTGGAGCATGATCCTAATATAGGTAGACTCGCACAGGAATAACGAAATGACACGTGACAGAAGTTATTGGACAAGTAAACAGATTCACATCGATGTAGTAGAATTGATGTATCTCAACCTCGGTGCGGATGAGGAGACGATGTAGAAGCTAGTACCATCATATCACGGGTGTATCGCTGAATCTGAACATGAGACTATTAGATCCTCTGTTTATCCTCATCAAAACGCCCCCCAGCTCCGGCATGATCACGACCATGTGGTACACGATATCTAATGTTAGTAGAATCAATTTGTAACAAAGATATTAGTGAAGTATATAGTAGAAATATTGGTTATTGTTATTGTTAAGGATGATGAAATTTTGGGATGCAAAGGTGAGAGTTCTGTGCTCTCGCTACTTCACCTAAGAAGAGATACTACTTGTGTTGTGGTTATAATTACTGGACGTTTCCTTCTTTTTTTTTTCTTTTTTTAATATTCTTTTTTTTTTTTTTTTTTTTTTTTCCGTGCTAGCATCATAAAGCAAGGCTTTATTTTTTTTTATTAATTTTTTTTTTTTTTTATTTTTTTTTTTCCCTTTTTTAGACTTAAATGTTATTTTTCAGTTTTTTTTTTTGCCGAGAATACTTTGATGTTCGATAGATTTATTTTTTTTTATTTTTTCTTTTATTTATTTTTTTTTTTTTTTATTTTTATTCTTTTTTTTTTTTTTTTTTTTTTTTTTTTTTTTTTTCTAATATATTTTTATTTTTTTTTATTTTTTTTGCTTTGTTCTTTCCGCCAACGCACTTTTCCTTTTTTTTTTTTCTTTTTTAGGATTGTCTTTATTCTTATCACTATTTTTTTTTTCACTCAATTTTTTTTTCTTTTTTTTATTTTATGTTTGGTGTGGTTTTACTTTTTAGTTAGTGGGTGGTTTTTATGAAGTTTTTCATTTTTTTTCTAAACCATCCTGGCGCATTTTTTTTTTTTTTTTTTTTTTTTTTTTTTTTTTTTTTATATTTCATTTTTTTTTTTTTTTTTTCTTTTTTTTGTGACTCGTGTGGACTTTTTTTTTTTTTTTTTTTTTTTAATTTTTCCATTTTTTTTTTTTTTTTTCCATGTGCTTTTAGATTATCTTTTTGTCTTTTTTTTTTTCCAACGATTTTTTTATATTTTTTTATTTTTTTTTATTTTTCTTTTTTTTTTTTTTTTTTTTTATTTTCGTTGAATGGTCTTTTTTTTAATCTATCGTTGATATGCTATTTTTTTGGCATTTTTTTTTTTTTTTTTTTTTTTTTTCGATATCTTGTTTTTTTCCACTCAGTGTTATTATTATCAGTTTTCATTTTTTTTTTTATTTTTCGGGAAGACTTTTTTTTTTTTACCCACTAGTTTTTTTTTTTTTTAGCCACTCTTTATTTTTTATTTATTATTATTTTTTTATTTTTTTTTTTCTTTTTTTTTTTTTTTTATTGCTATTTTTGTTGTCAACTTGATTTATATTTATTTTTGTTTATTTTTAATTCTTTTTCTTTTATTTTATTTTTTTTTTTGTTTTTTTTTTTTTTTTTTTCAGGTGGAGTCTGATTTTTTCT